CAAGAGCTCATAAGTCGTATCCTCATATCGCCCCTCATCCCTCCCACCCCACCAGGCATGGTTCGTGACCACGTGCATGCACGTCATCACCATTATATGTCTTCCTCTTCTCTCCCAAGAGCTCATAAGTCGTATCCTCATATCGCCCCTCATCCCTCCCACCCCACCAGGCATGGTTCGTGACCACGTGCATGCACGTCATCACCATTATATGTCTTCCTCTTCTCTCCCAAGAGCTCATAAGTCGTATCCTCATATCGCCCCTCATCCCTCCCACCCCACCAGGCATGGTTCGTGACCACGTGCATGCACGTCATCACCATTATATGTCTTCCTCTTCTCTCCCAAGAGCTCATAAGTCGTATCCTCATATCGCCCCTCATCCCTCCCACCCCACCAGGCATGGTTCGTGACCACGTGCATGCACGTCATCACCATTATATGTCTTCCTCTTCTCTCCCAAGAGCTCATAAGTCGTATCCTCATATCGCCCCTCATCCCTCCCACCCCACCAGGCATGGTTCGTGACCACGTGCATGCACGTCATCACCATTATATGTCTTCCTCTTCTCTCCCAAGAGCTCATAAGTCGTATCCTCATATCGCCCCTCATCCCTCCCACCCCACCAGGCATGGTTCGTGACCACGTGCATGCACGTCATCACCATTATATGTCTTCCTCTTCTCTCCCAAGAGCTCATAAGTCGTATCCTCATATCGCCCCTCATCCCTCCCACCCCACCAGGCATGGTTCGTGACCACGTGCATGCACGTCATCACCATTATATGTCTTCCTCTTCTCTCCCAAGAGCTCATAAGTCGTATCCTCATATCGCCCCTCATCCCTCCCACCCCACCAGGCATGGTTCGTGACCACGTGCATGCACGTCATCACCATTATATGTCTTCCTCTTCTCTCCCAAGAGCTCATAAGTCGTATCCTCATATCGCCCCTCATCCCTCCCACCCCACCAGGCATGGTTCGTGACCACGTGCATGCACGTCATCACCATTATATGTCTTCCTCTTCTCTCCCAAGAGCTCATAAGTCGTATCCTCATATCGCCCCTCATCCCTCCCACCCCACCAGGCATGGTTCGTGACCACGTGCATGCACGTCATCACCATTATATGTCTTCCTCTTCTCTCCCAAGAGCTCATAAGTCGTATCCTCATATCGCCCCTCATCCCTCCCACCCCACCAGGCATGGTTCGTGACCACGTGCATGCACGTCATCACCATTATATGTCTTCCTCTTCTCTCCCAAGAGCTCATAAGTCGTATCCTCATATCGCCCCTCATCCCTCCCACCCCACCAGGCATGGTTCGTGACCACGTGCATGCACGTCATCACCATTATATGTCTTCCTCTTCTCTCCCAAGAGCTCATAAGTCGTATCCTCATATCGCCCCTCATCCCTCCCACCCCACCAGGCATGGTTCGTGACCACGTGCATGCACGTCATCACCATTATATGTCTTCCTCTTCTCTCCCAAGAGCTCATAAGTCGTATCCTCATATCGCCCCTCATCCCTCCCACCCCACCAGGCATGGTTCGTGACCACGTGCATGCACGTCATCACCATTATATGTCTTCCTCTTCTCTCCCAAGAGCTCATAAGTCGTATCCTCATATCGCCCCTCATCCCTCCCACCCCACCAGGCATGGTTCGTGACCACGTGCATGCACGTCATCACCATTATATGTCTTCCTCTTCTCTCCCAAGAGCTCATAAGTCGTATCCTCATATCGCCCCTCATCCCTCCCACCCCACCAGGCATGGTTCGTGACCACGTGCATGCACGTCATCACCATTATATGTCTTCCTCTTCTCTCCCAAGAGCTCATAAGTCGTATCCTCATATCGCCCCTCATCCCTCCCACCCCACCAGGCATGGTTCGTGACCACGTGCATGCACGTCATCACCATTATATGTCTTCCTCTTCTCTCCCAAGAGCTCATAAGTCGTATCCTCATATCGCCCCTCATCCCTCCCACCCCACCAGGCATGGTTCGTGACCACGTGCATGCACGTCATCACCATTATATGTCTTCCTCTTCTCTCCCAAGAGCTCATAAGTCGTATCCTCATATCGCCCCTCATCCCTCCCACCCCACCAGGCATGGTTCGTGACCACGTGCATGCACGTCATCACCATTATATGTCTTCCTCTTCTCTCCCAAGAGCTCATAAGTCGTATCCTCATATCGCCCCTCATCCCTCCCACCCCACCAGGCATGGTTCGTGACCACGTGCATGCACGTCATCACCATTATATGTCTTCCTCTTCTCTCCCAAGAGCTCATAAGTCGTATCCTCATATCGCCCCTCATCCCTCCCACCCCACCAGGCATGGTTCGTGACCACGTGCATGCACGTCATCACCATTATATGTCTTCCTCTTCTCTCCCAAGAGCTCATAAGTCGTATCCTCATATCGCCCCTCATCCCTCCCACCCCACCAGGCATGGTTCGTGACCACGTGCATGCACGTCATCACCATTATATGTCTTCCTCTTCTCTCCCAAGAGCTCATAAGTCGTATCCTCATATCGCCCCTCATCCCTCCCACCCCACCAGGCATGGTTCGTGACCACGTGCATGCACGTCATCACCATTATATGTCTTCCTCTTCTCTCCCAAGAGCTCATAAGTCGTATCCTCATATCGCCCCTCATCCCTCCCACCCCACCAGGCATGGTTCGTGACCACGTGCATGCACGTCATCACCATTATATGTCTTCCTCTTCTCTCCCAAGAGCTCATAAGTCGTATCCTCATATCGCCCCTCATCCCTCCCACCCCACCAGGCATGGTTCGTGACCACGTGCATGCACGTCATCACCATTATATGTCTTCCTCTTCTCTCCCAAGAGCTCATAAGTCGTATCCTCATATCGCCCCTCATCCCTCCCACCCCACCAGGCATGGTTCGTGACCACGTGCATGCACGTCATCACCATTATATGTCTTCCTCTTCTCTCCCAAGAGCTCATAAGTCGTATCCTCATATCGCCCCTCATCCCTCCCACCCCACCAGGCATGGTTCGTGACCACGTGCATGCACGTCATCACCATTATATGTCTTCCTCTTCTCTCCCAAGAGCTCATAAGTCGTATCCTCATATCGCCCCTCATCCCTCCCACCCCACCAGGCATGGTTCGTGACCACGTGCATGCACGTCATCACCATTATATGTCTTCCTCTTCTCTCCCAAGAGCTCATAAGTCGTATCCTCATATCGCCCCTCATCCCTCCCACCCCACCAGGCATGGTTCGTGACCACGTGCATGCACGTCATCACCATTATATGTCTTCCTCTTCTCTCCCAAGAGCTCATAAGTCGTATCCTCATATCGCCCCTCATCCCTCCCACCCCACCAGGCATGGTTCGTGACCACGTGCATGCACGTCATCACCATTATATGTCTTCCTCTTCTCTCCCAAGAGCTCATAAGTCGTATCCTCATATCGCCCCTCATCCCTCCCACCCCACCAGGCATGGTTCGTGACCACGTGCATGCACGTCATCACCATTATATGTCTTCCTCTTCTCTCCCAAGAGCTCATAAGTCGTATCCTCATATCGCCCCTCATCCCTCCCACCCCACCAGGCATGGTTCGTGACCACGTGCATGCACGTCATCACCATTATATGTCTTCCTCTTCTCTCCCAAGAGCTCATAAGTCGTATCCTCATATCGCCCCTCATCCCTCCCACCCCACCAGGCATGGTTCGTGACCACGTGCATGCACGTCATCACCATTATATGTCTTCCTCTTCTCTCCCAAGAGCTCATAAGTCGTATCCTCATATCGCCCCTCATCCCTCCCACCCCACCAGGCATGGTTCGTGACCACGTGCATGCACGTCATCACCATTATATGTCTTCCTCTTCTCTCCCAAGAGCTCATAAGTCGTATCCTCATATCGCCCCTCATCCCTCCCACCCCACCAGGCATGGTTCGTGACCACGTGCATGCACGTCATCACCATTATATGTCTTCCTCTTCTCTCCCAAGAGCTCATAAGTCGTATCCTCATATCGCCCCTCATCCCTCCCACCCCACCAGGCATGGTTCGTGACCACGTGCATGCACGTCATCACCATTATATGTCTTCCTCTTCTCTCCCAAGAGCTCATAAGTCGTATCCTCATATCGCCCCTCATCCCTCCCACCCCACCAGGCATGGTTCGTGACCACGTGCATGCACGTCATCACCATTATATGTCTTCCTCTTCTCTCCCAAGAGCTCATAAGTCGTATCCTCATATCGCCCCTCATCCCTCCCACCCCACCAGGCATGGTTCGTGACCACGTGCATGCACGTCATCACCATTATATGTCTTCCTCTTCTCTCCCAAGAGCTCATAAGTCGTATCCTCATATCGCCCCTCATCCCTCCCACCCCACCAGGCATGGTTCGTGACCACGTGCATGCACGTCATCACCATTATATGTCTTCCTCTTCTCTCCCAAGAGCTCATAAGTCGTATCCTCATATCGCCCCTCATCCCTCCCACCCCACCAGGCATGGTTCGTGACCACGTGCATGCACGTCATCACCATTATATGTCTTCCTCTTCTCTCCCAAGAGCTCATAAGTCGTATCCTCATATCGCCCCTCATCCCTCCCACCCCACCAGGCATGGTTCGTGACCACGTGCATGCACGTCATCACCATTATATGTCTTCCTCTTCTCTCCCAAGAGCTCATAAGTCGTATCCTCATATCGCCCCTCATCCCTCCCACCCCACCAGGCATGGTTCGTGACCACGTGCATGCACGTCATCACCATTATATGTCTTCCTCTTCTCTCCCAAGAGCTCATAAGTCGTATCCTCATATCGCCCCTCATCCCTCCCACCCCACCAGGCATGGTTCGTGACCACGTGCATGCACGTCATCACCATTATATGTCTTCCTCTTCTCTCCCAAGAGCTCATAAGTCGTATCCTCATATCGCCCCTCATCCCTCCCACCCCACCAGGCATGGTTCGTGACCACGTGCATGCACGTCATCACTATCAACCGCCGCAAGTTCTCTCAGCAGGAGGTATGTCTTACGCAGCATGCCATGCACGGTACGCTATACGCGGTATGGTGCGCGCGCGCACACACACACACACACACGCACACACGCACACGTGCGCGCACACACACACACAGAGACAAGAGGCAAGAGCTATGCTGCTTTGCACATGTTAGAGGTATGGCACAGTACTCATTGGTGCGACTTTTGAGAATTCTCAAAAGTCGCACCAAGCAGAGAAGCCCTATTTCTCTACTAGCAGTGCTCATCGCACTCTTCAAGCTCCCATCATTAGCCTTCCTCTGGATCCCATTGTGTCCTGTTCTCTGCCCTCCTACCCCCTTGTTTCTTCCACAGACCCATCACTCACTTCACCACCATCACCAGCTCAACACCCTACTGGAGCTCAAGGCAACCAGCGCCCCCCATGGCCCCATCCTCCCCTCCTTGCTCTTGTTACCCTAACATCTCTTTCTTCTCTTCCTATTCCCTCCTCTCCTTTCTCTCCTCCCTCCTCTCTCCTCCCTCCTCTCTCCCACCACCAGATCGACGCCCTATTAGAGCTCAAGGCCATCTTCGGCCCCCACCGTCCCACAGCAGTGCTCTCTTTCCCCTCCTTGCTCTCCTTCCCTACCCTTTCCTCCTGTTTCTCTCCACCTCTTCCCCTCCCACCACCAGATCGACACCCTGCTCCAGCTCAAGGCAACCAGCGGCCCTTACCGTCCCACAGCGGTGCTCATCTTCCCCTCCTTGCTCTCGTTTCCCAGAGTTGGGTTGCTCTCTCTCCCTCAACCCAACTCCCCCCACCCACCTCTCCCCCCCTCCACCTCTCCCCCTCCCTCCCACCACCAGCTCGACACCCTACTGCAGCTAAAGGCGTCTAGCGGCCCTTACCGCCCCACAGCACTGCTCGTCTTCCTCTCTTTGCTCTCAAAATCTTACCCTTTCCTCTCTCCTCTCTCCTCCCCCCCACCTCGACACTCTACTAGAGCTCAAGGCAACCAGCGGCCCTCAACGCCCCACAGCGGTGCTCATCTTCCCCTCCTTGCTCTCCTTCCCTACCCTTTCCTCCTGTTTCTCTCCACCTCTTCCCCTCCCACCACCAGCTCGACACTCTACTGCAGCTCAAGGCAACCAGCGGCCCTCAACGCCCCACAGCAGTGCTCATATTCCCCGAGGGCACGCGTTCCTTGACTGGGTCCCTGCAGCCGTTCAAGTCGGGCGTGGGGCTGCTGGCAGAGCAGCTGGATGTGCCTGTGGTGCCTGTCTGTGTCCAAGTAAGCGCTGTTGTCTGAATGAGTGTGAGTGAGAGCGCCCTTACACACAGCAGTGCTCATCTTCCCTGAAGGCTCTTGCTCCCTCATCGGCCCTCTGCACCCCTTCAAGTCAGGCGTGGGGCTGCTGGCAGAGCAGCTGGATGTGCCTGTGGTGCCGGTGTGCGTCAAGGTGAGCGCCATCGTCTGTGCGTGAGTGAGTGAATGAGTGAGTGGGAGAGTGAGTAAGTGAGGGAGCGAGTGAGTTAGCAAATGAGCCATTTATCCAAGCGTCACGGCCAACGAGTCGAACCATCCTCCTACAGAGAAAGGTCACTTTTGGGCAGCCTCTGGACGTTCATGCGTATCGTCCAACTCCTTTGCTCCTCCTCTTCTATCCATATTGCGTCCTACTGCCACCCACCCACCCAGGGCACCTTTGAAGCTCTACCAAAGGGCCGAACCATTCCTCTGCGCAGAAGGGTGACTGTGGAGTTTGGGCGGCCTCTGGACGTTCAGGAGTATCTTCAGGTGGCCCAGGTGGCGCCGCCCAATGCTGCTGTCGTCTCTTCCCCAGCAAGCACTCAGGTGGTTATCTGTTCTTAGGGAACAATGGGTCATAAGGTTCATCTTCAGGTGCATCTTCAGGTGCATCTTTTTGTTTTCAGATCTGGAACATCTCCAGGTGCCTCATGAGGTGCATCAGGTGCCTCATCAGGTGCCTCATCAGGTGCCTCATCAGGTGCCTCATCAGGTGCCCCATGAGGTGAATCATTTGGGGCATCTGAAACCCGCTGCATACCTCGTTTGCCCAGCATTCTTTGCCTCCCCTGTGGCCCATCCCCTGCCAGGGCGATGCCGTTCAGAGCGCATCAGCCACAGAGGATCCACAGCAGGCCTTTTAGACCGCGCTATATGCTTTTCTGCCCACCCTTCTCTCTCACCCGTGGCCCATCCCCTGCCAGGGCGATGCCGTTCAGAGCACATCAGCTACAGAGGATCCACAGCAGGCCTTTGAGGCATTTCAGAACGGGCTATATGTTTTGCTGCCCTCCTTTCTCTCTTCCCTGTGGCCCATCCCCTGCCAGGGCGATGCCGTTCAGAGCACATCAGCCACAGGCCCAACAGCATCTGAAGATACCGAACGGGCCATGAGACGAGCAGCACACAGGCGATTCGCAGACGGCCTTCAGAGAAGCGTGGCAGATATGGCTGCGCGGAGTAAGGGCAGGGGCGCACAGGGAGAGACAGGGACACGGAGTAAGGGCAGGAACACGCAGGGAGAGGCAGAGACAGAGAGTAAGAGACAGCTGGAAGGCCAGGGGAAATGGGCAACGGAAGGAGCGAGGGAAAGGCGCTGGGTGGTCTTAACTGTGTGCACAGCTGCAGCTGCTGTTGCTGCTGCCAGCTTTGGCGGTGTTTCCCCTGAGGGCATCTCGCAGGCAAGCTACGCTGCAGCAGCATCGTTGCTAGCATGTGTGCCTGTGCAAGCAGGCGAGACGGCGGGGTTTGCTGCTGCTCTTGCCCTCTGCTTTGCCTTGCTGATTGCTGGGTTCAGGCCTCTTGCTAGCTGGGCAGGGCCGTATCTGTTCTTCCCCTCGGATGATCAGGAAGAGATGCCGTAACTTGGGGTAATTTTTTGTCATTAGCAGGTTTAGGCAGAGTAGTTTCTGGTCTTTTAAGGCAAAGCAACAGAGGACTACCGTTGACTTGACTGCAGTAACTGCAGCTCTGTCCAGAAGTGCCACCCATGTGGAGCAGCATGTGACTCCATTTCAGCAGGTGCAAACAACTCAGGGGATTAGTTCCATACTTTCCTACACTTCCTTTTGGTTAATCAGTACAACACAAACTGAAACGGTTCTAAAACAACAAATCAACTTGCAATCCAAGAAAACAAGGAATAAAGAATGGAGCAAGTCCCACACTAGCAACAGATAAATCAATAGGCCAGCAGCATTGGAATGTTACTGTTGGCGTGCAATAATAGAGCAGATGGTAAGCAGGCAGGCTTGTGACGGCACCTTATTCCCGCCTGCGCGAAAAGAGACGAGCTGTGTCGATAACATAACAGTCAGATGATTATGGATTAATGAAACCGTTACCACCCCACTGTCCCATCCCTTACTATACCTGCATCTCAAAATCAAGACTCCCTGCCAAAACCCTCTAACCAAGCGAGCGTCCAATTTGACCCCTGCCAACCCCTTCCAACCCATGCCAACGATCTGAAACGCCTCAAAACCCAGTAGCAGCGGCTCCATCCCCCAGCGGCCCCATCCCCCACCAGACTCCCCACCCACTTCACATCTGTCTTCTGCATCTCCTCCCTCCCCGTTTCAAACTTTCCCAAAACCTAGCAGCACCACTGTCACACCTTACTAAATACCTTAACCGCCCTGAATATAGACGTCTCAAAACCCAGCACCACTTCCCCCATCCCGAACCAGACTCCCCACCCACCCCACATCCGTCTCCTGTACCTCCTCCCTCCCTGTCCCCGCTATAAGCTGACCCCCTGCTGCTTTAGAAAGACCAACTCCCTGCTGGGAGGGCATTTCTGCCTGGGGTGGCAGCAAGCGGGGTTCATAGGTGGGCACAGAGTGGACTGACTGCCACGTGGGGAGACCAGAGGGTGACGCCCACATGGAGTGGTTGGGGGGTGTGCTAGCAGGAGCACTGGAGAGGGGATTATCTGACTGATAGTGGGGCTGCTGCTGCTGCTGTTGCTGCTGGTATTGGGTGGGCTGTTGCTGCTGCTGCTGCTGTAGCTGTTGCTGCTGCTGCTGGCGAAGACCACTGTTCATGCGAAACTGAGACACCACGGCCTGTGACGGTGACATGGGTGTGAATCCACGGCCCTCCAAATGCCCTAAATACGAGGTTTCGAGACCTGGCTGGGGTTGGGGAGAGGACGAGAGCGCATATGCCCGTTCGCTTTCATTCCTGAACTGTTGCTGCTGCTGCTGCTGTTGCTGTTGCTGTTGCTGTTGCTGCTGCTGCTGTTGTTGCTGCTGCTGCTGCTGCTGTTGCTGCAGCTGCCTAATCATCTGCTCTGCCTGTCCTACCGACCCGCCTCGGAACATGCCAGAAGGCCCGGCAGCACCATACCTAGGAGACTGGCTCGGAGAGGGTAGAGCACCAAACATCCCTCCATCTGCACCCCCCATGCCACCATCACTACCAACACCCCCATAGCTCCTAGGCGCAGCATCACTACCAGCACCCCCATAAGTTCTAGGGGCAGGGAGCGAGGGGCTTGAGGAGCCGCTTACAGGCCCAAGACGCGAGCCTTCCCCTGATAATGTCATGCCTAATCGTCCAGGACTGGACGGAACACTGTTCGCGCCCATTTGCCCCCCTGCACCTACACTTGCCATGCCCATGCCGCCACCCCCCATCCCCATACCCGCGCTCCCCATCCCCATTCCGCCACTGCCCATACCCGCAACTCCCCCGCCCACGCCGCCCATATCCCCACTGAGAACGTCCGGGCGTAAGGGGCTGTAAAGCTGCTGCGCGCCCCTACTAGGGCCGGGGGAGGGCGCGTCTTGAAGCTGATAACTCACGCCCAGGTTCCTCCCCGGGTTTCCTAGCGAGTTCTGAGTCGACTCATAACGGGACGGCGCGTCCTGGAGCTGGTGGAAAGGCACGCCCGGGGATCTAGCCTGACGGGTGAGGGAGAGATCACCGAGGTCGGAGGTGACTCGCGCAGCGCCTAGGTCGGCACGTGTGATGGATTCCAGGTGGTCCTGGAGGATGTGCTGCGGCGGAGAGTGGTGCTGCAGCTGCTGGTGTTGCTGCAGCTGCTGGTTCCAGTATCTTGGCTGCTCCTGCTGCTGCTGCTGCCAACGCTGCTGTTGCTGTTGCTGCTGTTGTTGCTGCTGCTGTTGCTGTTGCTGTTGATGTTGTTGCTGCCGCTGCTGCAGCGACGGTCGAGAAAGAGGCGAGTTCTGCTGCTGCAGCTGCCCCTGCTGCTGCTGCTGCTGCTGCTGCTGCTCTTGCAGCAAGGACGCTTCCAGCGCCTCTAGCGCCTCTTCAGTCTCCTCCGGAATCGTCAGCTCCCTTGCGTTCAGCGCCGCGCGGAGGCGCATCAGATTCACCCCCGATGACAGGCTTATCGGCGCACTTCCCCCGTGTCCCCCCGCGCCTCCCCCGCCGCCCGCAGACTGACTCCCCCCCGGCATGCCCTTCCCGGACGCGGAGAACGAGGCGATGGAGGGGGACATGGGGGTAGTGGGGGAGGAGCTGGTTGCGCTGTGCGGCGCAAACTGCGACATCATGCGGACGGACGAGGGGGACGGCGGGGGGAGGTCGGCGGAGGCGGTGACTGCGCGCATGTCGGCGGGGGAGTGCGCAAACATGTTGGCGGGGGTGCCCGCGGCGGGGCTCTGCAGCGGGCGGAGCTCCTCGGACGTGTGCGCGAAGAAGCAGACGCGGCGGGAGCAACTGGTGCCGTCCTTGCAAAGCCTGGCGCGGGGAAGAAAGAACGAGAGAGATTTGGCAAAGAAGATCTAAGTTGGATTTTTTTTAGGCGCCTCAAAAAGGACGAGAGAGATTTGGCAAAAAATATCTAAGTTGGAAAATCCGCGTCAAGGCTCTGGGAGAGAATGGGGGGCGGGCGTCATGAGATAAGGCGAAGGACAGGGTGAAGGAAGGGTGTGACGAGCGACGCAAGGGTCGCAGCTGAAGAGACGAAGGAATAGAAGACAAGACGGTTCAGGTAGGTTACGGCGTGTTGCGCAGGGACAGCACATCGAGCGACGGCAACGGAGCAGCACGGGAGCAGGGACGAACAGGAAGACAGCGAGACCATACGGCCCAAGCGTTCTCGCTAACTTCTCAAAGGAAAATGCCAGAGGAAGGAGGCAGCTACACATCAAGGAGCCTCAAATATAGCGATACTTGGATGAGAAAGATTGGCTCGTTCGATGCAGTTACATATGTGGGAAGGCATACCTGGTTCGATACTGCGCGGGATGCAACCAGCACTCAAACACGCCGTGCGCATACTCGCACGAGTCCCCCCTCCTGCACGACCCCTTGCGGAAATCCGGGCACGGCACGCAGCTGTAATGAAACTTGCGCGGATCGCGCCGGCGGGCGTTCTCCCCGGGATGCACGAACGGGCACTCCGTCCAGTCGTGGCTGTACGCGCGCGAGCACGGCCGCACCTTAAAGCTGTAGATCCGAAACTCGTCCGATGCGTAAACGCTGCCTTTCATATCCGCCATGGATGAGTCGACTACACCGGCGCCGGTGGATGGAGTGGTGGGAGCAAGCACGTCGAGTCCGGTGGAGTTAGAAGAGAGATCGCTGCTGCTCGAGGTTGCGGGAGAGAGCATGTTGGGCGATGCGGAGTGGGAGTTGGGCGATGACGGAGATTCGAACGGCGGAGACGAGGACGCCGCTGATTGGACGATGATGAACGGAGACGGACGGTGGTAGATCGGGTCGGGGCCGGAGGACGAGGAGGATTTGAGAAGCCGCTCCAGGGCGGATTTGACGTGAGGAAGCTTCGGGGAGACTGCAATGACGTCAACTGGACGTTTTCCGTCACGGTCGACGGCATCTTTTTCGGCTCCGTGACGGAGAAGAAACGAAACCACTTCCACTGCTCTGGGGCTTCCACCCAACGCTGCACAGTGAAGCGCTGTGCTGCCATCAGAAGGACTCGCCTGGTTAATGTTGCACTCTACACCGCGGCTACGTGCTTCAATAAAAATATATGATAAAATATCTAGACTGCCGAATAGGCAAGCAATCATGGCTGGAGTTCGCTGTGCAAGAGCCATTCTGGTGGAGCCATTCTGACGACAGTACCATGACTCGCATTCAGTCAATGGCTTCCGTAAAATATCGACGCTTCGTTTGAAACTATCTATGTCATTACTCGCAGCTAACTCCAGCAAGCTTAATTCCTCGTCTTCGTAAATAGGAGTAGATCTCGAGTCACTTGCGTGGAAATTCATTGTTGAATAAGTGAATGACGAGGCGTCGATAGGAAAGCCACAGCACATGGCTGAAACCCTAAAAATGCGGCTAAGGACAAGCCATGCTTGCGAACCTCGAAGCCTACCTACGTGTGCTGCAGCATAAGAAATGCGACGTGCTAACTAAGGAATAACGAGAAGCAAAAGAATAAATGGTGAAATGACATGGAGTTGCAAGAACTGATTGGCTATCCCTAGAGGCTGGCTTTATAGTGTCGATGAGAGTGGAGAGCTCAGGTTTGGGAAGCAAGACCTGTGGGGGAGGTTTCACCCCTCCCTCAGTGACTTCCACCCCCTCAATCAGCAGACTTCCATGCACTGTACCGAGACAGATCCCTGGATAACGAGAGAAATTCCTGAATACCGAGGTCTCTGTAGTGACGGAATCGAACATCTAAGGAAGACCCAAGGATGCCGTCGGATATTTCAAGGCATGAACAATGCTCGAGGTATCGTGGGCGGGCGGGCAGCCAGACAAGCCCCCTGGCGAAGCCGAACTTCTCCAGCTACTGTACAGTATTCTGTAACCAGATGCCCAGAAGAACCATTGATGGCCCCCAACACAGCAGGACGGCGATGACGGGCAGCCAGGCTGGAAACGAAGATCACTGATGGAGGTCCATTTCCAGCTGGATTGGCGAATACTGATTGGTCTAATTTTGGAGTGTTGGGATCGAAAGCTGGGGACAAACGAGATTTACTCAATCCGCCCAAACTCAGGAGAATCGACGGTGCTGCGCAGACAAGGCAGACAGATTCACCACTGAGGAAAACATCAGCCAAAGCTGCCGTAGCTGAGACAGCGAAGGATACCTCAGCGAAATGGTTCGTCAACAACATCAACTCCCTGCTGCTTTTATATAACAGCAAAATGGTTTACATTATTTCATATACCTTGACATCAACTACTCTGACCAAAGAAGTTGGGAAGCCCAGGATATAGAATCAAGAGACATGAAAAAAAAGTGCTTTACACATCTCCCAACCTACCAATCCCTGACACAAGATAGTCATAGCGGATCTTTATCACCACCTCCTACCTTAACTTCTGTCCCGCCCCTCCCTCACATCACCTCGCTCTCTCCTTTCCTGCTCCTCCCTGTCCCTGCGCCCTCTACCATAATCCCTGTCACCCTCTCTCCGCCTATCTCTTTCCCTCTCATCCCTCTCCACTCTCCAACCCCTCTCCTCTCTTCTTCCCCCACAATGTTCCCTCTTCCCTTCCACTCCCCTCTCTTCCTCTTTTCTCGACCAACCCTCTTCTCTCTTCTTTTCCCCTCTCCCTTCTTTCCTGCTCCTCTCTTTCCCATCCTTCCCCATCCGTTCCAACTTCCTTTCCCTGTAACCATCCATCCCTTCTCTTCCTCCTCGCTCCTCCCCAACCTCATCTTCCCACCTCGTTCCACCACCCTCACCACCATTTCCACCAGCACCCCCCTTCACCTCCTTCCCCTCTAGCCTGCGCCTGCTCCCTCTTTCCCCCTTCTCCTCTCCATCTTCGTTCTCCTCTTCTCTCGAACTACGACGCTCACCAGCATCCACAGCACCAATCTTGACCTCTCTGCTCCCTATCCTGCTCTCTACCCTACTCTTGCTAGTTCCTTCCTTCTTCTCCTTAAACCCTGGGCCTTCCTCCTCACGGCTCCTCTGCTTTTCCTTCTCCCTCCCCTTCCTCTCGTGCGACCACTTTCTCTTTGCTCCTCGTTCCTGTTTCCTCTTGATCCTGCGACTGCTGTCACTTCCACTGCTCTCACTCCCACTGCTGTCACCAGAGCTACAAGCTTCCTCACCCTCTGAGCTCGATTCAGAATCTGATTCCGATTCTGAAGAATCCGATGTATCAGACGACGAATCAGAATCTGATTCTCTGCGGCCGTGTCGGCTCCTCCGCTTCCCACGTCCCTTCTTCTTCTCCTTCTTCCTCCTCTTACTCTTACCCTCCCCACCAGCTCTCTTCTCCTTCCTCTTTCTCCGTTTCTTCCGCTCCTCCTTTTCCTTCATCCTTAAAGCCCTGCTCAACTCCTTACGCTGCTTCTTCGTAAGCGAGTCTAACACAGAAGAGCCAAGACCAGGCATAAGTACCCCTCCCCCTCCAATACCTCCCACCCCTCCCACCCCTCCGATCCCCCCCCCAGCAGCATCACCTGCGGCCAATGCTGCTACATCCGCCTCTCCTCCTAAAAGAAACCCCCCGTACTGATCGAACACGCCCTCGTTCTCGTCGTCGCTGGGCGGCAGGATCTGCTGGTTGGCGTCGTTCGGCTTGAAGCCGCCCCGGACGGGGCTCATGCCGCCCGCCCCTTGCTCCTTCAGCTGCCACCCAAAGGGCTGAGGAAAGTTAGCAAAAAAGGGTCAGAAAGAGGGGTTTGAATGGAATGGTTTGGAGAAGGGAGCATGGTGTACTGGCTTAACTAGATCATCCCTCTTGCCCCTTGCTCCTTGAGCTGCCACCCAAACGGCTGAGGAACACAGGGAAGCGGAAGAGGAAAGGAAAGGGGGGGGGGAGGAGTGTGTATAAGGGAAATGCTTGGGAAGAATGGGAAGAATAGGGAAAAGAAGGGACAGCAAGGGGCATACCTGGGGGGCGGTTGAGGGCGAGGATGTGGGAAAGAGGGTCCTCCCGCTGCTGGCGCTTGAGGTCGTTTTCAGTCACGGAGTCAAACAGAGGGCACTCCCTCTCTCCCTCCTGCTACTGCTGTGACCTACCCCCCCGCACACACCGCCCCTTGCCTGCTTCTAAAAGTCCCTTTCACAAGCAAAGAATCACCATAGGACGGGGAGAATGGGGAGAAAAATGGGTGTCAAGAAAGGAAAATACCTGGGGGCGGTTGAGGGCGAGTATGTGAGAGAGTGGGTCCTCCCGCTGCTGGCGCTTGAGGTCGTTCTCAGTGACGGAGTCAAACAGAGGGCACTCCCTCTCTCCGCTGCTGTGCCCTATCCCCCCACACCGCCCGCACTTGACGTTCCTCAGCTCTAGCCCGAAGGGGCGAGGCCGGCCTATGATTCCTGTATCCATCCTGGTGAGTGTGTGAGTGGAAGGGAGAGGGGGGACGAACATGGGATGACACACTTCCTACACCTACCCCCACACCGCCCACACTTGACGTTCCTCAGCTCGAGCCCGAATGGGCGCGGTAGGCCAATGATGCCAGTGTCCATCCTGAGAAGTGTGGGAGTGGAAGGGAGAGGGGGGAGAACATCTGATGACACACCTCCCACACACACACACCCCCCGCACTGCCCGCACTTGACGTTCCTCAGCTCGAGCCCAAGCGGGCGTAACCGGCCAATGATGCCTGTGTCCATCCTGAGCGTTACAAGGAAAGGGAAATGGAGTGGCGGGCCAAGAGAATATCTATGAAGCACCTGAAAGTGTTTAGCTCACACACGATTCGTTATATATATGATAACTTTTATAGCGCCTAAAACAGCTCTCCCTTTCACCTGGGCGCGTTCTTGAGCACTTCAAAGTCGTCTCCGGTGGGCACGGCTCGACCAAACACGTCCGTGGCTCGGGGCTTCTTCTTCTTCTTCTGCTCCTTGCCCCCGTCCGTGTCCGGCTCATTGCTGCTGCAAAAGCGGTGGAACAGGGGGTGGCATGAAAAAGGGTAAGACAGACGTCCGTGGCTCGGGGCTTCATCTTCTTCTTCTGCTCCTTGCCCCCGTCAGTATCAGGCGGCTCAGTGCTGCCAGAAAGGAAGGGGATGGAACAAGAAAATGAAGATGGGGTAAGACACAGACGTCCGTGGCTCGGGGCTTCTTCTTCTTCTCGTCCCCGTCGATATCAGCCGGCTCAGTGCTGCCGAGAAGGGGATGGTACAGGGGGATGCGTGGAATGGGGTAACACGCCCATTCATCGAGGAAATAATAATAATAAAAAACAACAACAACAACAACAACAACAAACAAACAAACAAACAATCTCAAGGGGGCTCGAGTTATTTCTTTTGAGGCGTCTCAGAGAGCAGACTCGAGGCGCTTCAGAGGCGGGGGCGGTACAGGGAAGCACAAGGGATGGGGCAGGCTGCAGGGGTCAGACATCCATGGCTCTCGGCTTCAATATAGGTAATACGTAAATAGTTCTGACACATGCTGCAAACTCTCATCAGGCTCAGATGAGTTCTGAGTCTGTTCTGAGTTGAGAGGAAAAGAAAGAAAGGAATGAAAGAGCAGACTCACCCTGCCTCTGCCACCACCAACGCTCCATCCGCACCCATACCCCCATCCTCCCCTCCTCCCCCCTCTCCTTCCCCACCTTCCCCTCCGCCTCCTTCCCCCACTCCTCCCCCCTCCAGTACCATCTTCCCCTCCTTCTCCTGCTTCGCCCTCTCCTCCTCTGCAAGCTCTGCCGCCCGCGCGCTCTCGGCGTTGTACCCGGGCGGCTTCATGTAGAGGAACGACACGGACTGCATCGCCTCCGCCTTGGCTTTTTGTTGCTTTGAAAGCAGCGCCGTTTGTTTGAAATACTCCTGCTCCTTCTGGAACTGCAATCGGGAGTCAAGGAACAGGGAGAGAAAGAGAAGGGAATGGGAGGCACAGAAATCCGGAAGTGAAGGGAAACAGGGAGGCAAGGGAAAGGGAGCGAAGAGTGGATGGGGCAAACCTGGGACACCGGGAGGCAAGGGAAACAGGGAGGCAAGGCAGTGCCGGCTCTTGGCTCTCGGCGTTGTACCCAGGAGCCTTCAAGTAGAGGAACGACAGGGACTGCATCGCCTCTGCCTTTCGGAGACGTGGGAAAAGGAGACAAGGTAACAGCAGACGGCAGTAGACGGTGTGCAAGTTGGGATGCCTAAAAAGACAATGCCTACCCAGTGTTTGGAACACGGCACGGCGTCTACCCGCATCAACCCGAGTAACAAGGCGTCTCATAACGCGTACACCTTCCTGTACAGAACCTCTTTCTCGATTTCGATCAATCGCTTGTCGTCAGCGATCCATGAGCAAATGCACGAGTAGCGTAACATCTCATAACGCGTACCTCTTTTTCTATTTCGGTCAGTCGCTTGTCCTGCACGCCGTGCATCTGCTCCGCAATCCACTTGCGACGCTGGTTGGGATACGACATCGGATGCCATGGCTTCTGATTCAAGTAGTTATGGCTCCACGCAGATCCCGCCTTTTCCTTGAAATCAAACTCCTCGAATAACTTCTGGTGCAGCTCACGCTTAGACATGGTGACCCCCGGAACGATTCGCACCGAGTCGCACCAAGTCGCACCGATTCGCACTGAGTATCACCAATTCAGGCCAGACTCAGCTCCACTACAAGGGACTAAGACAGGTTGACTGAGACCCATACATACTATCGCGCTTCACCAGCTACGAAAATGGATGCTACACAACGAGTGGAGTGGAGTCTTGCAATGATCTGCTCTTGAGGGTTTCGGTAACACGGATTGTTGGGCGAATCTTACGCTATACACCAGATCGACTGTAAGTTTGGGTGGTTAGTTTGAGATTATTATCAAGGCCCAACCTTCTTTCATTTTCCAGTATTCTCTCCTGTGCGCCTTTTCATGAAGTTATACTTCTCGTCAGTTAGTTTTTTTTTTCTTACACGTTGTCAGCTACGGTTGTGACATCCATACATTTTCAGACTTCTGAAATCCTTGCTGTACGTTCAGCGGATGTGAGAGAAATGTCCATAGTTCAAGGACTGCCGATCATCCACTGCATATACAGGAAATTATATCAATGACAAGGCCTCTCTTGAGTCCAGCAACAAACCATTCCCAAGTTAGCCAAGTGTACTGCTGGTATACAGTAGTTGAGATATCACTTCAGCTGGGCAAAGATTTTAGGAGCCGCCTGCACAAGTTGTAAGAGAGTGCACAAAAAAACGGTTCGATCAGGTCACAGCGGACTAGATTGCAGAACGCAAGACAAATGACAAGCCATACTTCCAGATCATTTGCAAGCAAACGACTAACTCACGCATTTATCAATGCACGCCCAGTAATCGAAGTACTGGCCAGTGCAATGCTTCTCCCCAGTCTCGTCGCCTTCGATCCTCTTTACACAGGCCTAAGCAATGCAGATCAGAGACCAGAGTCAGACCATAGCCTTTAAGCCGATACGTTCAACAGCCCAACAAGCCCGAACGCTAAAAGAAGCTGCGAGATTCCTGTAAGTCCGCGATCGTAGGTCAACCGAAAGGCGAACCAACCGGCTTCAGACATACTAAAGAAGCGACGCTTTGGGGGGTAAGGAAAGCCTCACCTCGTACGCGAGCAGCTGCTTCACACACTTCGGCCGGCACCCCTCCTCAATCTCGGGCTTCGGATCCACAGGCTCGTCGTCAGCCCTACACGTGGCACACACGATCGTCAGACACGATTCAAGCGAACCAACTATGTATGAATAACCGACGGAACACTCTTCACGGAATACGCTAACTCACATAGTGTCTGACAAATACGAATACGCGTGGCGCGGAAAGGTCCGAAGTGAGGTGACTGAACGAGGTGAAAGGCGGTGAAGTTACTGTGAGGCGAAGCGGAGAGAGAGCGCCACAGCCGATCTCAACAATGGTGTCAGCAGAAAGCGAGCACAGGAGGCGGGGGTGACAGGTCCTTCTGTGAGGTGGAAGGAAGGTGTGCGAAAGTCCTAGGCAAAATGAACGAAGTCTACGACACAAGAACTGCGAGGAGCACGAGACGTAACCAGGACTGCGAGGTAGTCATCCCACCCGTCGCGAACACCAGTAGTTTTCCGACCCGTTAACGAGTAAGAAAGTTCGAGAAATGAGATGTCATTCAACCATAACTGATCATATTAAACCCCTTGAAGAACTGCCTTCGGAGTTAGCCTGCCCACTTTGGTCCCCCCCAGAAGCCTGTTCTGATACATCCTCCTTCCCAGTGCCGGCATCAGAGCTGCCACTGCTACCAGTACTGGCACCACTGGTGCTATCTGCCTTGGCATCAGCTGCCTCTGCACTTGCATTGGGAGTTGTTGAATTGCCAGCAGTGGCATGTGCAGAGGTCTGATTGTCTGACGTGGCATTGGCGGGGGCGGCGGGTGTTGACTTCCCTGCAAGCATCTGCGGTTTCCATTGCAAGACGTCGTCAATGATGTTGGACACTTTCTTCTGGTACCTGAAACAGGAAAACATTGTAAAACAAGGTAACATATGGACGAGAAAAATGCACTCTCTGAGGAATATGACAACACATCACATGACATCGAGTGATATCTGGACTAGATATCTGTGTAAGCAAGAACAGAGCACATGCAAAAAAATAAAATAAAAAGGCGACAGCAACACTCACTTGGCTCGTTGCTCTTGGTCAGGAGCGTATGTGACCATGAGCCAGAAGGTGAACCCCACCATCACAGCAAAGCTAAAAGAGCAACAACAGTGCGAGGAAAAGAAACCAATTGCATACACATAAAGAAGGTGCTTACTTGGCCCGTTGCTCTTGGTCAGGAGCATATGTGACCATGAGCCAGAAGGTGAACCCCAGCATCACAGCCACCGCCAGGCGCGTGGTGATCTTTGCGGGCGGCTGGTCGTCCTTATCCGGCCAGAAGCGGAAGAGCTCTGCCAGCGAGCCCTCCTCTGCTAGAATGCTCGGGAAGAACCAGACGCGCTTGCCCACCGCCAGCCAGATGACTCCAAATATTGCCACCCGGACTGCAATGGGGGAGAAATCGCAGGGCGGGAAGGGGACTACGTGAATGCCTGTGCATGAAACAGAATGGCTCCATAAAATAGGCCTCTGCTGGGATGCTGGGGAAGAACCACGCGTTTGCCCACAGCCAGATACAGATGGCTCTAATCACCACCGGGGCACTGCAACGAGGGAACAGGAGCAGGGTGCCGAGCGAGAGCATGCTGACTGGGTGTGAGGAAAGCCCTCTTCTGCAAAAGGGCTGGGAGAAAGCGTTTGGATCTATCACATTCCAAAAGAACCAAACATGCGTGAGCTTGCATCAGTGGGGGAAGACGACGAAGACGCAGCAGCCGGCCATAAAACCCTCTAGTAGCATCAAACCTCACCCCACGCTGTGTTTCACTGACCAAAGAGCAGCAGGAAGATGAGGGCGATGAGCCCCAGGAGGAAGTAGAGTACAGCGAGCTTGCACCAGTGGGGGAAGACGGGGAAGAGGCAGCAGGCGACGGTGAAGACCGGGAGCAGGAAGGAGAGGATGGTCTGCCATACGGGCTGCTGGCGCTCGTACATCCAGGCGTAGAAACCATCGTCCACCGTGAATGCTTGATCCTGGTGATAAGGGAAGGGAGAGAGGAGGAGAAGAGCAGTGAGCTGGAAATAAGGGAGCAGGAAGGAGAGGATGGTCTGCCACACGGGCTGCTGGACCAATATGAGCCAGAATGAGTAATGGTGAAAGTCCAGCCTCGCAGGCCACTTGGAGAGCTATTTTTCAACCGGGTCTGAGGGTCTTCACCACTCTTGATCGCACCACACAGCCAGCTGAGCCTCCAAGGTCCTTATGATATGATGGTTGGGGGATCCTAATCCTGGGCCGAAGCCTTGTCCAGAATCAGTCAATACCTGATGGAAGTCAAGCCGGGCAGGCCAGTTAAAAAGCTTATTTTGACCCGGTCTACGTGCCTTCACCACTCTTGGTACTGCACCACCAACCGAGCCTCCAAGGTCCCCATGATAGTTGAAGAATCCTAATCTTGGGACGACGCCTTGTCCAGAATCAGTCAGTACCTGGTGAAAGTCAAGCCGGGACGGCCACTTGGACAGTTCTTTTCCGCCGGGCCTCAGGGTCCTTACCACTCGATCGCACCGCACCGCCAGGTGTGTCTTCCCCAGCTGAGCTCCACCAGAAAGTTGAAACCCCAGAGTGTGCAAGGTACCAGCCTGGCATCAGTACCTGGTGAAAGTCCAGCCTCGCAGGCCACTTGGAGAGCTTTTTCCGGCCGGGTCTGAGGGTCTTCACCACTCGATCGCACCGCACCACCAGCTGAGCCTCCACGAGCGCGTGAAACACGGCCTCTTCAATCGGCTTGCGAAGGCTCGCGGCATCTTCCGCGGGGATCAAGGGCGTCGCGAGCTCGGAGTGCTTACGAATGAGGTCTGCAAAATCCTTGCCGCGAAAATACTCGACCCGGTTTTCCTGAAATGGAGGACGGGGTGTAACGAAGGAGGTCAAAGAAGTTGGTTCACGGAGGAAACACAACATCCCAACAATCCGAAAATGCGTAAGAAAAGCAAAACTAAACGAGGAACGAGCTTACGACAACAATAGATGAACGCGAGTTTGGTTCGTTGTGGGACGGAATGGATCAGTGTTGCCAGTGAAAAGATGAAGATCGCGAGGAAGAGTAAGAAAGATGAACTGCGGACTGATAAGGTACGGCAATGATAAGGAACGGCGAATGCTGAGCTTACGCGAATGATAGCCCATCGCGAGTCCAATTCTCTGTGGTACCGCAGCTTATCCGCCGTGATCTCCGCTGGCGACTTCACCTTCTTCTGCGGCTTGGCGGTTTGCGGTGCTCGCCGATCCTTTTTCGCCATCGCGAAATGTGCAACCTAGCCTTCGCTTCTTAATGGAAAGAGTCGATTGAAAGGGAAGCCAACAGCAGCCTAGCCTGCACTTGCGACTTCGCGTCGTAGAACTTCGGAAACTAACGCTTATACTCCGTGGCTGACCAATACTACTCGGTCACAAAGTTGTCAGAAGTCGGCAAGATGAAATCTAGGAAAAAAGCGGGAAGAATGTGTCCGTAATGAGTCACTCGATAAAGTTTCACGTCAGGTTCTAGAAGTTTCTGTCGATAACGGAATTTTTGTACGCCGGGATGGAATTCTCATTATCCCATACATAAACAGTTCGATCTAGCCATATAATCGCATGACCTTGAGGCAGGTGAATCAATAACGGGGACAAATTCCAGGCCAAATCTTTTCACCCACAGAAGAATCTGGAATCTGGCATTCTCATCGTGCGTCTTTCTATCCTCCTCCCACCATGCCCGCCGTTATTGCCGCCGCAGCATCCGCTTCCGCTACCGCTGTCGCCACCACTGCTGCTCGGCGCGCTTCCCGGATTGCCTCCTCCCGCTCCCACCAATCGGGTGTCACCGTCTCCCGCTTTACCCAGTCCTCCAGAAGACCTACCGCCTCTTTCCCCAGACTCATCCCCGCGCAAACTCTTCCCCCGGCATTTGCTCCGCGGAGGAGTGTTTCGACACTGCCTTCCGCCTTTGCGCACTCATCAGCGCGTTTCGCACGCGTCGCTTCCCCCTCTTCCGCCGGCTTCTCCCCGAGAGCCATGGCGGGCGCGGGTGACAACAGCGGAGGCGCCGCGAAGCCCAAGAAGGTGCTTGTACCGATCGCGACGGGGACGGAGGAGATGGAAAGTGTGATTGTAGTGGATCTGCTTAGACGCGCGGGAGGTGGTTGCGTCCGTCGAGCCGAGGCGATCGTCGCGTCGCGCGGAGTGAAGCTCGTCGCTGATGACGTCATCACGTCGGTCGTCGATACGGATTTCGACCTGGTCGTCTTGCCAGGTAATGTGCTTTAAACGAGGAATTTGTGTTTCTTGAAATGAGAAAGGATAGCTAAGAGTTATGGCTAGAACAATGGCATGGGGACATCTTAGTGGAATGTAAAGATACCTCAAGTGACATGTCACGTGATATGGCGTCAGGAAGCTACACAGGATTAGAAGTCCCTAGGCAGATGCCACCCGTAGGGTCAGACGAGGCTGATACCTCAATAGGAAATGACTTTTGAGTCGACTCAAAAGTCACCTCAATAGGAGATGCTATTGTTCTGACCTTCATCTCGTTTCTTTTTCTCATTTTCTCCTGCAGGAGGCATGCCAGGCGCCGAGTACCTGAGGGACATTTCCCCTGAGGCATGTTTCTGAAACGCCTAAACGAGTTCTTCTTTTCTTTTCCTCCCTTACCTTCTCCTTCTCTCTCCTGCAGGAGGCATGCCAGGCGCGGAGTACCTGAGAGACAGCGCACCCCTCAAGCAGATTGTGGAGCGCCACATGTCGCTACCCCATTCGTCCGTGGCTGCCATCTGTGCGGCCCCCGTGGTGGCCCTCCAATCCTGGGGCGTCCTGACTGCCACCACCAAAGCCACCGCGCACCCAGCCTTCTCCGATAAGTTGACTGGCGTTGACCCAGCCGTTACCGCATCTCGAGTCGTGGAAGACGGTAATGTGGTTACCAGCCGCGGCCCTGGCACTGCGATTGAGTTTGCGCTTGCGCTGGCAACTCGGCTGTTTGGGGAGGCGAAAGCAGCTGAAGTAGCCGCAGGGATTGTAGCTGCAAAGGGGGATGGATCTGATTTGCTGCGTGTGGTGGAAAATAAGGATAAGATTCCGAAGCCGAAGAGGGAAGGGGAGGAGGTGACAGTGCTGGTGGCAGTGGCTGACGGAACAGAGGATGTGGAGGAAGAAGTTCCCATTGACGTGCTTGTGCGTGCGGGAGCGAAAGTGACTGTCGCTTCTGTCACTGATTCTCTGGATTTGAAGCTGCGTTGTGGGACGAATCTCACTGCTGACACCACCCTCACTGACGTCGCTGCCGCAGGGCGCAAGTTCGACCTTGTGTTTGTTCCCGGGGGTATTCCAGGGGTAAACTACCTTCGCGACAGCACCTTGCTGGACGGCATTCTGCGTGAGCAAGTGGCAGAGGGGAGGCTATGTGCGGCCATCTGTGCTGCTCCGGTCGTGGTTCTCCAGTCCAAGGGATTACTCCAAGGGAAGAAGGCTACAGCACACCCGTCCCTTTCTGACCAGCTTGCGGATCAATCCGCAGTGCCGGCACGTGTAGTCGTGGATGGTCCAATGGTGACGAGTCGAGGGGCGGGAACGGCGTTTGAGTTCGCGCTGACCCTCGTGGAGTACCTGTTTGGAGAAGAGAAGGTTGTGGCGGTAGCCAAGCCGATGGTCATGAGCCCTGCGCTTGTACCAGTGCCCATGCCAGCATAGTGCAAATGTTGGTGGGTTTGGCCTTTGATTTGCGATGAGTTTTAAATTGGTGGTTGAAACTGAAAAGCAAGCTATGCGGTACTATGTTCTTTGTTCTGGAAACTGTTCCAACTCTTTATTAGAAACCTGAAGCAGTTCGTTGGGATTTATATATTGAGGAGTCAACAGGAAGTAGCACAGGCTAATGTCCTACAAGTCTAGCTCAAGTTCCCGCTGACTGTACGAAATTATATTCAAAGAAACCAGCAAGAATGTCTAGTGATTGCTAACCATACTGTAGGTAGTAGTGTAAGATTTAGCCGTAGCTAGCAACAGTTGCTCTTCTGTTGCAGAGGCCTGCTCTCTCCTGGACGAACAGTCTGTCCTGTCTTGTTGCCCAAAGCTGGCTGGCTCGCCATCCTGCACAGTAAACAATTAATTCAACATTCCAGATTTCATATAGAAGCAGAGGAAAGGGTGGTTGGGAGAAGGGAGGAGTATGGGGGGTTGGTGCCAAGGAGAAAAATGGGTGGGGGGGAATCCTGCAAAACTCTCAAGGAAAGAGAGGTCGGGGGGGGGAATGGTTGGGGGGGGGGGGGGGCGGGAGGGAAGAGACCTCCAATGTTGCACGAAAAGAGAACCATCAGGGGCGGAACTATGGGGGTTAAGTGGCGCGAGCGTACTCCAAGCAGGAAGAGATACGGACAGGGAGGAGAGGAGTGGAAGAGGGACGGAAAGGGGGGGGGGGGGGAGGAGGGGGGAGGCAAAGGGGAGGTTGGGACAGGAAACGGATGTTGAAGGTATTGGTGGGTGGGCAAAGGGAGCAGCAGAATGGAGTAGAGGGGAAATGGAAGGGGGAGGTTGGGACAGGAAACGGATGTTGAAGAAATTGGTGGGTGGCCAAAGGAAGCAACAGAATGGAGTAGGTGAGTGACGACAGTGCCAAATTCGGGCACAGAAGTTGAGCCAGATGAAAGATACTGTAATCGAACTACATACCTGTTCTTAATCTCAGCTGCCATAGTCATGAAAGCCTGCTCTACATTTGTGGCGTTCTTCGCACTGGTCTCCAAAAAGGGGATGCCAATCTCATCAGCAAAAGCCTGCCAGCAGTTCAGGATAGACGGAGGGAAGATGACATTGACGCAATCGCAGTGTATCGTATGCTACCATGAACAGCCCAGTTCGCCATGAAGCCAGTGCATCCAACAAATATTTCCTTGTTTTGCTGTAATTTCTGATATATGATCTCAAAGTTGGTAAGAAAAGCTGCGGGAAGCAGATACAGGAAGTAGCTCGGCTCTCGAAACTAATCTCAAAAGAGGAAGAGAATCCACCTAGGTAGGTCTCACCTTAGCCGTTTGATAATCCACGACTCTCTTGTTGGTAAGATCGCACTTATTCCCCACAAGCAGCTTGTTGACGTTCTCGCTAGCGTATCGGTCGATTTCGTTCAACCACTGCTTCACGTTGTTGAAGCTCTCTTGATCAGTAACATCGTAGACAACCTGCGCCATAGTCATCAGTGAAAAAGTCAGCAAAACGACATATCCACTATCTCCCGACAAACTTAACGATAAGCGAGTCACTTACGATAATTCCATGTGCTCCACGATAGTAACTGCTAGTGATGGTTCTGAAGCGTTCTTGTCCTGCAGTGTCCCACTGCAAAAAGATTGGTTCAGCATTAGAACGGCCACAGAAGATAGCATTCACTATTGAATCTAACCTGACGGAACTTACGATCTGAAGTTTGATCGTCTTGCCATCGAGCTCCACAGTGCGGATTTTCTGTAACGCGTTCAAGGGGACTACTGTCAGCCTCAGATGGCACAACAAAACAAGATTCTAAAGAGAAAGCTAGAATAACAACTCACGAAGTCCACGCCGATGGTGCTGATGTAGCTCTCCAAATACGAGTCATCCTGATGAAATGAACGGGATACAGATATCACTAAATTAAAGAGTGACGAATCATATAAATAAAATGAACCTAGAAGCAATATGAGATCCTTACGGCGAAACGGAGGAGAAGGCACGATTTGCCAACACCAGAGTCGCCAATCAACAAAAGCTTGAACAGGTAGTCACTGCACAAGCAAAATATCCAGAGATCTATCAGCAACTTATTACTCTTAAAACGGTTCCGTGCTCCAACAACTGCTTGGATACCCACTACTCAGGATTCATGGCGACTTCGTTGACGCTAGCAAGAAAGGTGACTGCACACTATATGGCAGCAGCTCAAGAAGTCCGATGAGATATTGCGGTGTAGATGCTAGCTCGTAAGGTGTCAAGCGGTGTGATAGGATACCTCGGAGGCTGCAAACAGAAGTCTAGGAGGTAGTTCCTTCAATAACCGACTAGCTAGCTGAAATTAATGGAGGTCAATGAATGCATCAGAGCACAATCTGTGAGGTGGTTCCAGAATGTGAGACTCTGGCTGATGGAATCACTCTGGCTGGGTTGACTGACGGAATGTGTCGTCGCTGGTTGGTTGGTTGGGTAAAACGGGGAACGGAATGCTTGACGAACAGCCAGAGGACAACGCGGATGTGTCATTGACGTGAGTGCCACGCCGGAACAACCAAACCGACTGAAACCTTCTGCGGAGCGGGAAATAGGCGGAAACAGATGCGGAACCTCGAACATATTGCGCCCGCGGAACGTTTTGGCGGAGCGGAAAGGGGATCCGCCGCGCAAGATGGGTGTTCTGACTGCTATGGCGATGTGTCACTGTCATCGCACCTTCCCCGACTCGCCGAGAAACAGCCCGTTTCCCGCCCTGACAATCCCAAGTTCGTGCAACGGTCGCTCGTTCTCGGTATACTGCATGTAAAAATATCTGAGTTTACATATCAGCGTAAGACACTGGGCGAAAATTCTCCATACAATGATCAGTTCCAATACATCCCGTCATCCGTTATTGACAAGCCTTTGTTCGCATAACGAGTTCGCTCATCCAAAACTCGAGTGTAGTTGTGGCCCAGGTGCTTGGGTGGTGAAGTCTTCAACACCTTCCATCCATCCATTCCCTCTTCCAACTCTTCAATTTCTCATTTGATCCAGCTCTCCTTCATTGAATCTGCTGTGATCCATATTTTTTCATCCTCATCTGAATCAGCACCATTGAATCTGCTGTGGTTTCCGCTGCAGTTCATCCGAAGCGTATCGTTTGTATTATGAATTCCCTATCTTAATACGACATTCTTCGATTGGTCTAGGATTCGTTGTCGCCATGTCAGAGCTCGATTGCCTTCGTGGGATCGTCCGCGATTGCCTGGACAAGAACCTGATCAGCTCCGCTTCGTTTCTCGCCGATAAGCTCGCTTGCTTATCCTCTCAGGATCCTGAGGACGTCCTCCTCTTGGCGCGATGCTACTATGGTTCGCGGCAATTCAGACGAGCATTGAGGCTTTTGCGGGCCGAGGATCTAGTCCATTCCGACACCCGCTTTCGACTTCTTGCAGCGAAATGCTTGGTCAGTAAACCTTTTCACTTCTTATATTCTTGAACGGCTTTTGTTTCTTCGTTTGTTTTCTCGTTCTTCTAGCAAGGTCTGGCGCGTATGACTTGTATCTTGAGTAGTGCTCACACACTGAGCATTCTGAACATCGCTACTGTAGCTTAATTGAATCGGTCGCTTTTGGATTCTGGGTTCTCTTCTGATGTGGTGTAGGACTGGCAGGCGGACGAGAAGCCTCACTGGACTCCTATGATGGTGACGTTCTGAGCAGGAGCAAGTCAAGGACTGGGAGGAATGCCTTGCATTGCTGGAAGACGCAAATAACTCTGGAGCTCCTGGTGGTGGGAAGAGCTGGTCCGGCTTCCCGGTTACGCCGGTACCTGGTGGAGGATTTCTTACGCCTGACGCTCTTGCTCCGACGAGATTGGATCTGTCCACCCCTACATTTGGAGGAGCGTCTGAAGATTCGCCACGGAATGGAATCAAGGTATTGCTTAAATTCTCTCTTAAGCTCTCTCTTGAGCGGATTTGGTACATGCTGTGACATGTGCATCAACATCTACCCTCCATGTACCACATTTTATCATTCGATCGGCTACACGTGTCGTGACCTCCCATGCTCCTCCCGTTGATGTATTTCTGACTGGCTTGTGGCTTCCCTGCTACCTTGCTGACCTGCAGCCAGCAGCGGCGTTCAATCTGATCCGCGGTCGCGCGTACGAGGCTCTCGGAAATCGACCAAAAGCGATCCATTGGTACGCCGTGTAGTTATCTCCTCCAATTGGTTTTTTTGCTAACGAGTATGAGATGTGCGCGATAAAGAGCAGTGCGGGGGGAGTGATGAAGCGCACTGGGCACCGAGTCACGGGATGCCTCATGGGCTCTCTTGCTGTGACGAATCGCACTTAAGGGCCTAGAAAACCCGCTACCTGACCCCCCACACAACAACTTGTCCTCCCTGGAGCGATTTCCGCTTGCATCTTTCTTGGTGTTCGTCGGCCTTTCTGCAGTGCAACCCGCCATGACGATAAACAATCCATCATAAAGTCCTGGTCCCGGCCATCAAGTTCTGTTTACTCGATTAGCAGACACCAGGAGCGTCGTTTTTCTGTATTCTTATAGAAAGCGGTTGTGTGCAGTGGAAGAGTATCTCGAGCAAGTACGAATTGAAGGGGTGTGATGAAGCGCACTGGGCACTGAGTCACGGGATGCCTCATGGGCTCTCTTGCTGTGACGATTCGCACCTAGGGCCTAGAAAACCCGCTACCTGACCCCCCACACAACAACTTGTCCCCTTAGAGGGTTTCCGCTTGCATGTTTGCTTTTCTGCAACCCGCCATGACGATAAGCAATTTATCGGGAAGTCCTGGCGCCGTCCATCTGGTTCTGTGTACACTCTTAGCATTACGCCAGGCGTGTCGTCTTTTCTGTGCTGTAAATAAGCAGCCAGACCAGGTGAGATTTGAAGGGGTGTGATGAAGCGCACTGGGCACCGAGTCACGGGATGCCTCATGGGCTCCCATGCTGTGACGATTCGCACCTAGGGCCTAGAAAACCCGCTATCTGACCCCCGCTCCTACTTTTCCTTTTCACGCATATGCTCTTAATTTTCGGCTGAACCAGTCGTGCGATCTGTTGTGACGACAAACAATGCACCATCAAATCCTGATACCTACGTTTGGGTTCTGATTACACAACATCTACTGTATCTGAGCAGATCTACGTTTTTGTACAAGCTGTCCTTATCAACGTCGTTGCCACTCTATTACAAGATCGTTTTTCACTATTATTATGCGTGTTTTTCAATATAAACCCTATACCTAGTCGCCCTGTCCCAGTTACCCTTTTTGCTGGAGAATCTGGTCGTCTGGTCTCCCTTGTGCCTGTGCGTATGCCACCTGCCATGATGATTCTCACAGCACCATCAAATCCTGATGACCCAAATGGGCTCTGATTACACACAACGCTTGAATCTGAGCATGTCCGCTTACTGATAACTATTTATGGTCCTGCGTCCTTACGTATTTTTGTTTTCATATTTGTGCCTACACGTATTCAACAATTTCATTCATCATTTTGTTTTATCTGCAGTATGGCCTCTTCTCCAGTTTTCCTGCGGGATCTGCCTGCTTGGTCTCTCTCTGTTTCCACGCACATATAACCTGCCATGATGATTCTCATAGCACCATCAAATCCTGACAACCCCAATGGGCTCTGATTACACAACGCTTGAATCTGAGCATGCTCGCATGCTGAAAGTCAATACTTGCTCCAGCAAACGACCTTCAGCTTGTTGACCTTCATGCCTGCGTCTTGTGCAGCCCTCTTTCCTCCCTTCTGACTTCTTCCTTTCCGCCTTTTCCTCCAATTCTTTGTCGAACAGCTGCAATTTCCTTCTTCTCCTGTTTCTGTTAGTGTCACCCGAACCTGCCTTCCTCCGTGCCACTTCACCCCGGCCTGTCTCATAGGCTTATCCCTTTTTAATGTTTTCTCTCCCTTGTTGCTCTCCACCTCTCAGGCTTTCGGCTGCGCTGCAGGCTGATCCGTTTTGCTCAGAGGTGCGTCTCCAGGCTTGTGCGTTCAATGATTTCTGCCGACGACTGACCTTGCTTGCTGTGTGCTTACAACGGAGGAACTGTGTTCTTACAGTGGATGAGCTGTGTTCTTACAATGGAGGAGCTGTGTGCTTACAATGGATGAGCTGCCTTTCCTTACTGTGTCGCTCCCCATGTGTCTCTCTGTTTGCGTCTGACTGTCACCTCAGGCGTTTGACGAGCTGATGGAAAATCATATGCTAACAACCGAACAAGGTGAGCGATTGCTGCGAGGTCTTGAACCACATGATACGGATGAGCAAGGTAAGGGTTTTGTCTTGATTCTGTTATGGGCGCGCTCTGGGTGGTGATTTTTATGCTGTCTGGTGTAATATGGCACGACAGGCGTGTCTGGTGTTCCTGGTGTGTCTAATGTTTATCGATGGACGTGAAAGAGTGTGAATAGATGGGTCTGTGTTGTGTCGAACCAAATCAATCGATCAGGTGCTGATTGAGAGCATGAAGAGGGGGGAGTGATGAAGCGCACTGGGCACTGAGTCACGGGATGCCTCATGGGCTCCCATGCTGTGACGACTCGCACCTAGGGCCTAGAAAACCCGCTACCTGACCCCCTCCCTCCTTCCCTCGTATGAGACAGCGTAAACCTGCATGCTCTCTTAAGCAGTTGCTCAGTTGCTCCTTCTACGTCCTCGCTTACATATTGTCTAAATCGTGTTGCCCTCCCTTGGGCTGCCCATCTGCCTTCCATCTGCCGCCCATGTACATCTGTGTTGTGCAGAGGTCGATCTGGTCGAGTCTCTCAACATCCTTGCTGGCTTTGAGTGGCTGCGTCTGCTCTATTCGTGCCGCTGCAAGAAGGTAATACCCTCATTCCCTTTTTCTAGAAGGAGTTCCGTTTCGCTGCTCCCATGTCTGCGATCGCGTAGCCTCTTTCTTACCGGTCATGCCCGTCGCTCCCGAATGGATTCCTCACTGAAACGTGCCCCAGTCTTTCTGTGGTTTTACGTTTCTGTTCCTCTCCAGTATGGCAGAGAGGACGCAGTGGAGCAACAGCTGAAGCTGCTGGAAGGCCCTTCGCCTCTCTCCAACCAGCCAGCCCGTCTTGCTGCTGGAAGGCTTTTGAGTCGACTCAAAAGCGTTTGTTTTTCCTGTTATGTTTCTGCTCCCCTTCAGTACGGCAGAGAGGACGCAGTGGAGCAACAGCTGAAGCTGCTGGAAGGCCCTTCGCCTCTCTCCAGCCAGCCAGCCCGTCTAGGCACCAGACGAACGTCTGCTCGCCCCATATCCACATCCTCTCAAACACCTGCACCTGCTGCTGCTGCTGCTGCTGCTGCTGCTGCTGCTGCTGCTGCTGCCGCTGCTGCTGCTGCCACTGGTGGTGGTGGAGGTGATGCTGCGAATGACACCGGTCGGGGAGTGGGTGACAACGATGAGAGGGTTGGGAAGAAGGCGGGTGTAGGAGTTGGGCTAGGGTGGGCCTCGAAGGATGGTGGTGGTGGGGGTGGCGCGGGTGGGAGGGGAAGAGGGAGGACGGTGGAGCAAGGGTTGCTGGGCAGCAGTGGTGACGTGGCAACGAGCCGCGCTGAGCTGGTGCTGCACGTGGGGCGATACGAGGATGCATACCGGATCACGAAGCAGTGAGTTAGTTGCGGGATGATTTATGTTAACCATGACAGTTGTCATCCTATACAGCCTGCAGTATGCTTATCCCTCCTTCCATCCTCTGCTGTTGCTACTTCCCTCCTCCTGCCCTCCTGCTTCTCTCTCCTCCTGCCTTCCTCCCTCCTTCCTGTTCATCTCTCTCCTTCCTGTTCATCTCTCTCCTCTACCCTTGCTACTTATCCCTCTTTCTTCCCTTCCCACGGCAGTGTCTTGGACCGGGATCCACACAACACTCGCTGCATCCCCACGCACCTGGCAGGGTTTCCCTCTTCTCTCGCTTGATTTTCTTCCTGTCCCCTCCCCACCCGCGGCAGTGTCTTGGACCGGGATCCACACAACACTCGCTGCATCCCCACCCACCTGGTAGCAGCGGTGCACCTGGGCAGGAGGAACGAGCTCTTCAGAGCGGCACATCAACTGGTGGACGACCACCCCAACACGTGAGACGATGGTTTCTTGTGAGTGGCCTCAAAAGGCTGCAGCGGTGCACCTGGGCAGGAGGAACGAGCACTTCAGAGCGGCACATCAACTGGTGGACGACCATCCCAACACGTGAGTCGATGGTACTGTAGCAGCGCCTTCTCCTTGCGACAAAGTACTGGCATGGTTCACAGTGGCGTGCCACTACTTCTCCTTCTCCTTCTCACATGCAGCATTCGAGAATGCACACTGCAAGACCCACTCCTTTCGCCTACTGCTGACAGATATGCTGTACTTGTTACTGCTCCCACCCAACCATTGTTTACTCTGCAGAGCGGTGGCATGGTTCGTGGTGACGTGCCACCACTACTGCATCCGGCAGCACGCAAGATCACTGCTGCTACTCACATTAATTCTGCGATATGTCCACCCGTGTTTACTCTGCAGAGCACTGGCATGGTTTGCAGTGGCGTGCTATTACTACTGCATCCGCCAGCACGACCAGGCGAGGCGGTTCTTCTGCAAGGCCACCACCGTCAGCGCTGCCTTTGATAATGATTGAAGGCACCCTACTACTGTTCGTGTTACTCCTTCCCATGGCATATCCTTGGCAGGGCGTTGGCATGGTTTGCAGTGGCGTGCTATTACTACTGCATTCGGCAGCACGACCAGTCAAGGCGGTTCTTCTGCAAGGCCACCACCGTCAGCGCTGCCTTTGATAATGATTGAAGGCACCCTACTACTGTTCGTGTTACTCCTTCCCATGGCATATCCTTGGCAGGGCGTTGGCATGGTTTGCAGTGGCGTGCTATTACTACTGCATTCGGCAGCACGACCAGGCGAGGCGGTTCTTCTGCAAGGCCACCACCGTCAGCGCTGCCTTCGCCCCCGCGTGGATGGGCTTTGGGCACACGTACGCAGCACAGGAGGAGACGGATCAAGCCATGGTGGCTTATCGGACCGCAGTGCGGCTCTTCACAGGGTAGGGTGTGCTGTGGTATGGTGCGGTGCAGTGGGGTGCGGTGGGATGTGGTGTGGTGCGGTGTGGTGTTGTATGTACTGTGTTTTGGATGATGGCTTCTCCACCATCGCCCGTGTGCCTCTAGTACCCATCACCACGGATTACTCTCGTGAATCCTTGTATAGCATTGTCTGACACCCCATTCTTTTGAGGCGCCTCAAAAGTCGTCTTTTGAGGCGCCTCAAAAGTCGGATTACTCTCTTGAATCCTTGTATGGCAATGTCTTACACCCCATTCCCCCCACTCCCTGCTCTCCTCCACCCTCCCGCATATCCCCTCCCGCGCCCCTCCTCCGCATCTCCCCTCCCCTCTCCTGTCTCTCTACAGCCCTCACGTGCCCCTGGTTTGCATATGAAAAACACTCATCAATTCATAATGTGAAACTACCTATATTCTTCCCACCCGTGCCACCCACTGCCTCCCCACCTTCGCTCCCCCCCTCCTGTCTCTGTGGCAGCTTCCATGTGCCTCTGGTATGCATCGGCATGGAGTATGCACGCTCCAACAACCTCAGTCTATCGCTGCATGTGAGTCGACCCTTGTACAGCCGATTCTTTAGCTGCTGAATGCAATTTCCAGTTCTTCGCGCTCTTCTTGCTCTAGTTTCACAAGGCAAATGTAGCTTGGGCCACGAAAACGCATTTACTCCCCTCCCCACTTCCCCATTCTCCCCTCTCCCACCTTCTTCCTGCTTCCCCCTTTTCCCCTCTCCCACCTTCTCTCCTCTTCCTCTTTCTTCCCTCCCGTACCTTCTGCCTCTTTTCGCTCCCCCCTATTGCCGCTTCTCCCTCACCCGTTCCACCCCCATGCCCAGTTCTTGGATGAGGCGCGCAGGCTGTGCCCGTCAGATCCGCTGGTGCATAACGAGCTAGGAGTCATTGCCTACAGGAGCCACGAGTAAGCCTAAGACCCATGCCTCTCTTTCTTCTTGAATCTTGAGTCAACTCAAAAGTCATCACACACAGGCTGTGCCCGTCAGATCCGCTGGTGCATAACGAGCTAGGAGTCATTGCCTGCAGGAGCCACGAGTAAGCCCCATGCCTCCCTTCATCCTTGGCTAGTCCTTGTTACCTGTGTCTTTTTTTCTTTCTTTCCCACTCCGCTCCTCAATACCTCCTGCCGCCCCCTTTCCCCCCCCCTCCCTCTCTTCCCCTCTCCCCTCTACCCCCCTCCCCCCTTCCTTCCCACCCGAACCCACACTTTTCCACCTCTCAGTTTCACCTCAGCAGCGTGGCACTTTGAAGTGGCGCTGCGGCTGGTGGCGGGGTACGGAGCAGCAGCAAGTCGAGTCCTCTAAAGCGGTCAATATACCAGCCTCTTCCCTCTGCCTTTTCTCCCCCCTTCCCCTCCCTGTCCCGCCACCGTCTCCCTGCCCCCTCCCCTTCAGTTTCACCTCAGCAGCGCGGCACTTTGAAATGGCGCTGCGGCTGGTGGCTGGGTACGGAGCAGCAGCGGGAGAGGGAGGCGGGGCAGAGAGCGAGGGGGCACGGGGGAGCTCGAATGCAGCAGCAGGGCGGCAGGCTGTGGTGGCGGAGTCGCTGGGTCTGTGGGAGTCAACTGTGGTCAACCTCGGTCACTCGTACCGGAAAATGAGGTGAGGGAAATTGCGGTGAGGGAGGATGGGAAGGGGCAGAGAGCGAGTGGGGGAAGGGCAGCTTGAATGTGGCAGCAGCAGGGCGGCAGGCAGTGGTGGCGGAGTCACTAGGTCTGTGGGAGTCAACTGTGGTCAACCTTGGTCACTCGTACCGGAAGATGAGGTGAGGGAGGGGAAATGAGGTGAGGGAAAATGCGGTGAGGGTGGATGGGGCAATAGGTAGGGAATTGGGATGAGGGATATGGGGAGAGGGGAATGAGAGGAAGGAAGTGAGAGGAGGGAGGTGAAGCGATGTCCTTTTTTGCGGCCAACCGCCTTCCTTTCTGTTTCCCCTCCCCACCCTGAGCAGGAGATACGGCGATGCACTGATGGTGTATGAGCAGGGTCTCTCTCCGCCCCAACACTGCCAGCACCTTTTCTGTCCTTCCCTTCACCTCCCCCCTTCCTTCCTTTCCTCTCCCCCCTTTCTTCTCCATTCCCCCCACCCACATGAGCAGGAGATACGGCGATGTTCTGATGGTGTCCGAGCAGGCGCTCTCTCTTCGCCCCAACACCGCCAGCACCTTTGCTGCCATGGCCTTCACCCACCACCTTCGTTTCCCTCTTTCCCACCCCCCTCACGTCTTTTCCCATTCCCCCATTCATTTGAGCAGGAGATACGGCGATGCACTGATGGTGTACGAGCAGGCGCTCTCTCTCCGCCCCAACACCGCCAGCACCTTTGCTGCTATGGCCTTCACCCACCACCTGCAGGGAAACCTCATCCCCGCTATTGAGTTCTACCACAAGGTGGGATTTGCACTTTTTACTGTTATACAACCCTCATCCCATTCCCAACTGTTCTTTGTTTTTTAGAGCTCCTTAGCTAAAAGCGCACCGTGCTTCTTGCTGCCTTTGTTTGTTCCAAGTCCATGATGTAAACATGCAGCTGTTTCTGAGTCACACCAAGTCTATATGCACTCAAGGCCACCGTGCAACACAGCACTACACCCCCCCCAACCTCCCCAACCACCCACCCCTCCCTCCTTCCCGCCTGTCCCCCCGCCCCCCCCGTCACCCTTCCCATTCATGTCAAGTGGGCACTTCAAAAGCATCTGTTCCCCCATCCCCCTTCCTGTTTCCCCCATCCCCCTTCTTGTTTCCCCCATCCCCCTTCCTGTTTCCCCCATCCCCAACCACCACTCACAAACATGAGCAGGCACTGGGCCTATGTCCAGGAGATAGCCTGTCCGCTGAGATGCTAGGCCAGGCACTGAAGGACGAGTGTGCTCTCATGTCGGCTGCTGCTGACGACCATGTGGGGCCTGATGCTGTCCTGCCGCCCCTGATTGCGTGACAATGTAGGACCTTTACCGTGCAGTATATGTGTAGATATGGTACACCCTTTATGCTGAGATGCTAGCCCAAGCACTGAAGGACGAGTGTGCTCTCATGTCGGCTGCTGCTGACGACCATGTGGGGCCTGATGCTGTCCTGCCGGCCCTCCTTCATGACAATGTAGGCATTTATCGCACCGTAGATTTGTAGATATGGTACAACCTTTCAGCAGAGATGCCAGGCCAGGCACTGAAGGACGAGTGTGCTCTTATGTCAGCTGCTGCTGACAACCACGTGGGGCCGGATGCTGCCTTACGGCCCCTCTTTGAGTGACAATGCTTGGGTTATGAGACGTGTATGAAAGGTGGCATGCGGCATTGAGGGTTGGCCTAACTGTGTGCTCTCATGTCTGCTGCTGCTGACTACCATGTTGGGCATGCCTGATGCTGTCCTGCCTCCACCCCTGTTTGCATGGCAATGTCTGACTTCAAACATGTAGAGATGTTACCATGAGTCAGTGAGTGAGAATGAACTGCTGTTAGGGTTGCGTGTGACTGAATTTCTTCCAGAGTGTTCCACGTGCACATTAGTACATGAATTACTAAGTGAAACTGAAACACTTCTTGAGTGTGAAATATCTCTAGTCTGGAGTCAAGCTCAGTGCAACTGACCATGGAACCTCATCTCAATTCACCTTGGTGGCACACACCACATCTAGTACCACCCACTACCACTACCCAATTCAACAAGCCTGTCAAACAAAGCATCTCATCTCATCTCATCTCATCACAACCAGCCTTCTTTTCATTGCAAGGCATTGCAGCTACTCTACCTTGGCTACATACACTAGACTAGCCCCAGTCCAGCCACAAAATAATGCTGCATGCCACACACGCAACTCAACTGCATGCATTGCGGTTGCGGTGCCACTGTGCCATTGCAGCTCAATCTTAAAACACACACCATCTCATAGCAATCCATTGTCGTACCAGTGAATTACAGTCAAACATACCTCACGTCCTTGCCTCGATTGCATCCTGCTGGTGGGAGAAGCTTTCATGATTCCTGACCAGCTGCCGTACCCTGCGAAGGAAATGCAACTCATTTCCACCTCGCTTCTACTGCACCCGAATGGCAGGAGGCGGCTCGCCTGAACCTGGCCTTTACTGCACGCGGGTGGCAGGGGGCGGCTCCTTGACGACGGTTGACTCGGCGGTGCGCTCGTGCCACTGCAGCTCAATCTTGATGCGCCCGTTCTTGGGCGAGTCAGAGAGCAGGTAGAAGTCGTTGATGCGCCCGTTGGTCACCACGTCTGACAGGTTGATGTCGCAGTGACCGATGAGGTCCTGTGGAGAAATGGGAGGTGGAGGGGAAGGAATGTGAGAGAGGAAAACGGGGTGTGGGCCAGGGGGGGAGGACAGCCAGAGAGAAAGAGAGTGAGAGAGCAAGGATGTGCGCTCGTGCCACTGCAGCTCAATCTTGATGCGCCCGTTCTTGGGCGAGTCGGAGAGCAGGTAGAACTCGTTGATGCGCCCGTTGGTTACCACGTCTGACAGGTTGATGTCGCAGTGACCGATGAGGTCCTGGAATGGAGAACGGGAAGGAAATGTGAGGTGGGAAAGGAATGAACAGCACAGAGTGAGCAGGTAGAAGTCGTTGATACGCCCGTTGGCCACCACATCTGAGAGATTGATGTCGCAGTGACCGATGAGGTCCTGTGGAGAGTGACGGGAGGGGATGGAGAGGGGTGGGGAGGAGATGAGGAGACTGAGTGTGATGCGCCCGTTGACCACCACGTCTGAGAGATTGATGTTGCAATGACCGATGAGGTCCTGCTCAGGTTGGGAGGGTGAGAGTGGGAGGGAGATGACAGCAAGAAAGTGAGAGAGAAGTAGAAAGCAGGTAAGAGTCGCTGATGCGCCCATTGGCCACCACGTCTGAGAGGTTGATGTCGCAGTGGCCTATGAGATCCTGCAGAGGGGGATGGGGAGGTGCAGGGGGAGGGGAAATGTGAGAGAGGGAGCCAGGGTGTGAGCCAGGGGGGGGGAGGACAGAGAGAGAAAGAGAACATATGTAAGAAAACTCACAGTAAGGCTAAGGCTGTGGTACTCCCGACATCAGTAAGACCGTACCTTGGAGGAGGAGATAGAGAGCGTGCTCATGTTCTTGCTGTAGACCTTCACATGGAGCACGTCCTTGGCAGGAGGCTCATCCAGCAGTGGAGAGTCCCTCGTGGACCTTCCTATGCCAATCTCTCCCAATAAGAACGTACCTTGGAGGAGGAGATAGAAATGGTGCTCATGTTCTTGCTGTAGACCTTCACGTGAAGCACGTCCTTGGCAGGAGGCCATGGGGAGACTGCTGCTGAGGTACAATGCTAGAGGAGTGAATGAAGCAGCTCCAGGTACATACCTTGGAGGAGGAGATAGAAATGGTCCTCATGTTCTTGCTGTAGACCTTCACATGGAGCACGTCCTTGGCAGGAGGCTCATCCAGCAGCAGAGGAAGCTTCGTTCAAGCATCAGAGATTTACGTGAAAGAGGTGGACAAAAGGTGCCTCAGACACCAAACCATACCTTGGAGGAGGAGATAGAAATGGTGCTCATGTTCTTGCTGTAGACCTTCACGTGAAGCACGTCCTTGGCAGGAGGCCATGGGGAGACTGCTGCTGAGGTACAATGCTAGAGGAGTGAATGAAGCAGCTCCAGGTACATACCTTGGAGGAGGAGATAGAAATGGTCCTCATGTTCTTGCTGTAGACCTTCACATGGAGCACGTCCTTGGCAGGAGGCTCATCCAGCAGCAGAGGAAGCTTCGTTCAAGCATCAGAGATTTACGTGAAAGAGGTGGACAAAAGGTGCCTCAGACACCAAACCATACCTTGGAGGAGGAGATAGAAATGGTGCTCATGTTCTTGCTGTAGACCTTCACGTGCAGCACGTCCTTGGCAGGAGGCTCGTCCAGCAGCAGCTCCCACTTGTCGTCCTCATCAAACGTCAGCTCCGCCGCCTTCTTGTGCACCTTGCTCGTCCACTCGTGCGCACGGAAGCGAAGCTGCACGAAGGGGTTGGCGTGCTTGTTGGACTCGAGGTTCTCCCCCTCCCGTAGCATCATGCGCAGGCGCCCGCCGCCCACCTTGAGCCACGACGGGAAGACCTCGATTTCCACGTCGTCTGGCATCTCTGCTTCGCCCTTGGCCAACGGACTGACGGAGGGAGGGAGAGAAGAGGGGAAGAGAGAGGGGAGGAGGGAAAAAGGAGAGGAGAAAGGAGAGGAGAGAGGGAGATGAGAGGGAGCGTGAGAGAAATCGGTGCATGTGGAAGCGCAGGTGCACGAAGGGGTTGGCGTGCTTGTTGGACTCGAGGTTCTCCCCCTCCCGTAGCATCATGCGCAGGCGGCCTCCCCCCACCTTGAGCCACGAGGGGAAGACCTCGATTTCCACGTCGTCTGGCATCTCTGCTTCGCCCTTGGCCAACGGACTGACGGAGGGAGGGGATTGGGGTGAGGAGAGGAGAGGGGAGGAGAGGAGAGGAGAGGAGAGGAGAGGAGAGGAGAGGAGAGGAGGAGATGAGAGGGAGCATGAGAGGAGGTGGTGCGAGTGGAAGCGCAGCTGCACAAAGGGGTTGGATTGTTTGTTGGACTCCACATTCTCTCCCTCCCCCAGGATCGCGTGTAAGTGATTGATTGTTTGAATCAAACAGGGACTCACCGCAGGTTACTGTCGAATCCCAGAAACCCAAGGTCCTTCTTGCTGCCTGTCTGCGCGCCCGGCTCGAGGTCAGCAAAGCGAGCGCAATATAAGGCGGGCCCGAACGCGATTGTGTAGGTTGACAAGACACCCCCCCCCCCCTCCTAATATGAACTCACCGCAGCTTGACGTCAAAACCCAGGAACCCAAGGTCCTTCTTGCTGCCTGTCATCGCGCCTGGCTCAAGGTCAGCGAAGCGAGCCACGAGGCGAGATTCAAAGTGGGTGGGAGCGCCCTCGTTGATTCCTTCCAGAGCCACCCGTGTGACGCTCATCAGCTTGTCTGGCTTGTTCTGGTGGCAGGAGAGGAAGAGGGGAGGGAGGAAGGAAGGGGGGGAGTGGGGGTGGTGGTGAGCAAGGAGGTCAGCAAAGCGAGCACCCTCGTGAAGTCAGCACATAGGGGCCTGATTTCGGCCACAGTTTCACCCAGAAGAAACCCCAACTCCCAACTCCCTACTCCCAGCTCTCACCGTGAAGGACTTGTCGAACACCTCAACATGTAGCTTCTGCTTCTGCAGGTCGGCCACGTGCACCAGCAGCTCCTCCTTGCCCCAGTCAGGGTCAAGCTGGTCTTTCTTCACTTCACCCATGTGCTACGGCGGCCCTATAGAAGCGCCCCTACTGGTCAGATTTTGGCCACACTTGAGCCTTGAGGTCAGAAAAGCACCCCCCAGCTCACCGTGAAGGACTTGTCGAACACCTCAACATGTAGCTTCTGCTTCTGCAGGTCGGCCACACGCACCAGCAGCTCCTCCTTGCCCCAGTCCGGGTCAAGCTGGTCCTTCTTGACTGACGTGCTACGGCGCCCCAGTGCGCGGCCGTCAATGGAGAGAGAGAAGTGGGCACGTAGGGGTCGGATTTCGGCCACCGTTTCACCTAGGAGAACCCCCAAATCCCCCCTCCCAACTCACTGTAAAGGACTTGTCGAACACCTCAACATGCAGCTTCTGCTTCTGCAGATCCGCGACCCTGACCAGCAGCTCCTCCTTGCCCCAGTCGGGGTCAAGCTGGTCTTTCTTGACTGACGTGCTACGGCGCCCCAGTGCGCGGCCGTCAATGGAGAAGCGCACGTAGGGGTCTGACTTGGCCATCATGCCACCCAGGTTGCGCAGCTTGGTGCCTTTGATGTGCGTGATCACTAGCCAGCCGATGGGGGCGCTGTGTGGAAGGAGCGGGGGGCCGGGGGGAAGGAGCAGGGAAGGGGAAGGGGAAGGGGGAAGGGTGTGAGTGGTGGGAGAGGAGACTGTAAGGGTCTTCTTGACTCATAATCGAAGGGCAGCAATACGTGAAGTGAAGATGCCGCTTTAGCAACAGGATCAACAGTGTAAAGCTTAGTGCGAAAAAAGTAAATCTCAAAACCCCTTAGACTGTAGGGGTCAGTCTGACTTGGCCATCATGCCGGTTAGGTTGCGGAGCTTGGAGCCCTTGTTGTGCGTGATCACCAGCCAGCCAATGGGGGCGCTGGAGGGGAGAGGAGGCCTTGTTGCGCAGCTTGGGGCCTTGATGATGTGTGTAAAGACCAGCCAGCCAGCCCATCACATGGAAAATAAACCCTTTCCGACTCTAACAGCGCCACAGAAGGAACTCACAGCGGCTGGTCGTTGTACACCTCGAGCACCTCAGGCAACATGTGCATACTGGCTTGCAACTGAGAGACCCTTTGAGGCACTCAGAGACACCCCCTAGGCTGTAAGCAGTGCTCCTTCCCGCATGAATCTTTGTCGCTTGTGACCCTGAGAGGCTCTCACAGCGGCTGGTCGTCGTACACCTCGAGCACCTTGGGCCACATTTGAGACGTCTCAAAACTCGAGCACCTTGGGCCACATGTACATGCTGACCAACCTGGGTAAGCTACTGGTAGCAAAGACTGTGTGCCCCCATGCCCATGGTACTCACAGCGGCTGGTCATCATAGACCTCCAGCACCTTGGGCCACATGTACATGCTTGCTGCTACGTTGCCGATGGTCTTCTGCTCGAGGGATGGGATGGAGGCAAATGGAGAGGATGGGGGGGCTGGGGACATGAGAAGCAAGGCAAGAGAACGGGGCAATGGCACATGTACATGCTGGCTGGATGCTACGTTGCCGATGGTCTTCTGCTCGAGGGATGGGATGGAGGCAAATGGAGAGGATGGGGGGGCTGGGGACATGAGAAGCAAGGCAAGAGGACGGGGCAATGGCACATGTACATGCTGGCTGGATGCTACGTTGCCGATGGTCTTCTGCTCGAGGGATGGGATGGAGGCAAATGGAAGGGAGAGCATTGGAGTTAGGGAGCTGAGAAACGAGGCAAGGGGAAGAGGGGACGGTCACATGTACATGCTGGGCACTGCAAGCGATTCTTGAGAATTCTAACAAATGGCTCGCTAGAGAGCACTGCGTTCCACTGGCCCAGGGCCAGGTAGGCCCAGAGCAAGGCAGGCCCAGAGCAAGGCAGGCCCAGAGCAGGGCAGGCCCAGAGCAAGGCAGGCCCAGAGCAGGGCAGGCCCAGAGCAAGGCAGGCCCAGAGCAAGGCAGGCCCAGAGCAAGGCAGGCCCGGGGCAAGGCAGGCCCGGGGCAAGGCAGGCCCAGGGCAAGGCAGGCCCAGGGCAAGGCAGGCCCAGGGCAAGGCAGGCCCGGGGCAAGGCAGGCCCAGGGCAAGGCAGGTCCGGGGCAAGGCAGGCCCGAGGCAAGGCAGGCCCAGGGAAAGGAAGGCACCTGCACGTAGGTGTAGAGGCCGGGAATGGCCATGACGTCGAGTCCCAGCACCTTGAGACCGAAATCCACCTGTGGCTGTTGAGGGATGGGATGAGAGCGGGGGAAATGGCGGCCAGGACAAGGCAGGAGCGGACGGATGGATGGCAGGACAAGGCGATGAAAGGGGGGAGAGAGAACGGCAGAGACGTGTGGAGGACGAACGGCAGGGAGAGGGATCACAGGGCTCCTTTTTTTTTGTTTTTTTGCACAATACGAGTAAAGGAGAGGGTGATGGTGGATGGATGGGTTGTTGCGGACTCAAAGGTGGGATGAGGTAGTGAAATAGGCATTGCATAATAGAGGGGCGAAAAGAAACGCGAAAGAGGCATGAAAGAGCGTGAGAGAGAAGTGAAAGTGGTGTGAAAGTGGTGTGTAAGTGGTGTGGAAGTGGTGTGGAAGTGGTGTGGAAGTGGTAGGGGCGGGTACCTTATCCATGAAGGAGACGGTGATGGTGGAGAAGCAAGGGAAGATGGGCACGAGCGGCTTGAGTGTGATGCGCGTGACTGCTGCCACCTGCAGGTCGATGATCTGATGGGCAGGGCAGCACGGGGGGGGTGAGAAGACAGGAGAGCATATGGGCGAGCAGGAGTGAGTGTGCGAGGATAAGGGGCTTGAGTGTGATGCGCGTGACTGCTGCCCCCTGCAGGTCAATGATCTGATGGGCAGGGTAGCACGGGGCAGGCGCGGGGTGAGAGGACAGGAGAGCATATGGGAGAGCAGAGCAGGAGTGAGTGTGAGAGGATAAGGGGCTTGAGCGTGATGCGCGTGACTGCTGCCCCCTGCAGGTCGATGATCTGATGGGCAGGGCAGCACGGGGCGAGGGGATACGCGAAGGAGTGGGGAGAAAAAAGAGAGGCGGGAAGATGGGGACGAGCGGCTTGAGCGTGATGCGTGTGACTGCTGCCCCCTCCAGGTCGATGATCTGATGGGCAAGAGACATGCGAGAGCAGGGCCGGACATGGGACGGGACAGTTGGGGAAAGAGGGAGTGACAGGGAGGCGATTGGATGGCGAGTGAGGAAGGACATGACGGGTTCTTGCAGGAGATGCACGTGAGTGGCTGACTGCTGCGGGAGCAGCGTATAATGAGTGAGTTTTTGAGACGTCTCAAAAACTCACTTATTTCAAAGGGCAGGGAGGGAGGCAATTGGATAACGAGTGAGGAAGGACATGACGGGTTGCTGCTGGAGGTGCACGCGAGTGGCTGATTGACTGCGGGAGATGCACGTGAGTGACTGACTGCGGGAGCAAGGATCTTCGATTTTTGACTCCACTGAAGGAAGCTATGTTGGGAGTCAATTTGACGTGATAAAAGTGTATTTTTGAGACGTCTCAAAAAGTCATTTTGGAGAAATTTCGGAAGTGACTGCTGCCATTTGCAGGGCGATGCCCTCAGGGGCAGCGACACGCAAGAGAGCAAGGCCGGGCCGGGAGAAAACGGGGAGAGGGAAGGAGAAAGAGAGCGGCGATCGGATGCGGCAGCACCGCCGCTCACTGCACCAGAAACACCATCACCACCACCCCTCCCACCTGCACAGTGCCACCACCCCTCCCACCTGCACAGTGCCACACCACCCCTCCCACCTGCACAGTGCCACCACCCCTCCCACCTGCACAGTGCCACCACCCCTCCCACCTGCACAGTGCCACCACCCCCCCCCACCTGCGCACGCCACCACCCCTCCCACCTGCACATGCCACCACCCCACCCACCTGCGCACGCCACCACCCCACCCACCTGCGCACGCCACCACCCCACCCACCTGCACGGTGCCGGTAAAGCCCTTGGCAGAAGCAGCGACGGTGATGTTGGGATTGGCCGCCCAGCCCAGCGCAGCATAAAGCAGCAGAGGGCAGCGAAACAGCAGTGGGAAACAGCACAATAGCCCCATGCAGGCCTTGCACCATCACCACCACCACAACCACCACCCCACCCACCTGCACGGTGCCGGTAAAGCCCTTGGCAGAAGCAGCGACGGTGATGTTGGGATTGGCCGCCCAGCCCAGCGCAGCATAAAGCAGCAGAGGGCAGCGAAACAGCAGTGGGAAACAGCACAATAGCCCCATGCAGGCCTTGCACCATCACCACCACCACAACCACCACCCCACCCACCTGCACGGTGCCGGTAAAGCCCTTGGCAGAAGCAGCAACGGTGATGTTGGGATTGGCCGCCCAGCCCAGCGCAGCATAAAGCAGCAGAGGGCAGCGAAACAGCAGTGGGAAGCAGCACAATAGCCCCATGCAGGCCTTGCACCATCACCACCACCACAACCACCACCCCACCCACCTGCACGGTGCCGGTAAAGCCCTTGGCAGAAGCAGCGACGGTGATGTTGGGATTGGCCGCCCAGCCCAGCGCAGCATAAAGCAGCAGAGGGCAGCGAAACAGCAGTGGGAAACAGCACAATAGCCCCATGCAGGCCTTGCACCATCACCACCACCACCACCACCACCCCACCCACCTGCACGGTGCCGGTAAAGCCCTTGGCAGAAGCAGCGACGGTGATGTTGGGATTGGCCGCCCAGCCCAGCGCAGCATAAAGCAGCAGAGGGCAGCGAAACAGCAGTGGGAAACAGCACAATAGCCCCATGCAGGCCTTGCACCATCACCACCACCACCACCACCACCCCACCCACCTGCACGGTGCCGGTAAAGCCCTTGGCAGAAGCAGCGACGGTGATATTGGGATTGGCCGCCCAGCGCAGCGCTACCTGCAGAATGACCTCGTCGTCCGTGGTGTCAAACGACTTGATGGCTGCGAGCAGGGAGGGGGGGGGACCAAAGAACGTTGGACGCGAGGGGAGGGAAGGGTGTGAGCAGAAAGAGCACTGCCACCCAGCGCAGTGCGACCTGCAGAATGACCTCGTCGTCCGTAGTGTCAAACGACTTAATGGCTGCCAGGGGGGTGCTGACAGAGAGAGAGGGAGGGAGGGCGGATGTGAGAGACAGAGAGACAGAATCTCGCAGAGAGCATGCAGAAGACAGCATCTCGCAGGAGAGCATGCACTAGAAAGCATGCAGCAGAGAGCGTGAATGAGACTGACCAAGGATGGCGGGGGGGATGGTCCCCAGGTCGAGCTCCTCAAACCCAAGCGTCTCAATGAACGCGGGCTGCTGCGCCTTGAGCATGGGCGTCGCCTGCTCCCTGATCTGCTCGCTGATGGCCTGACGGACACACAAAGGAGCGAGAGATGGGTTGAATGCGGTGGAGGGGAGGGGGCACGTGACGAGAGGTACTGGATGAGAGAGGGCTGCTGCGCCTTGAGCATGGGCGTTGCTTGCTCCCTGATCTGCTCGCTGATGGCCTGACGGACACACAAGGTACAAGAGCGCATGGACGCATCAATTGAGGAGAAGAATGTGAGACTGGAATGGGAGACGAGGGTCTTCGTGCACGCAGGGTTCAGGGCCTTGAGCATGGGCGTTGCTTGCTCCCTGATCTGCTCGCTGATGGCCTGCTGAACGCACAGAGAATTGGGGAGATGGGTGGAAATGTGACGGTTGTTACAAACATTGAGGCGCCAGATCTTGTTTCTTAGGTTTCGTTGCAATTTCCTTGAAAAACGTATGGTTTGTTACAGACGAAACTGACAATCGCAGCTACACATGGCAAATGAAACAATCCATACCATGAGACCGCGGCCACTGTGCTAACGTGGGTGCAGTGCAACCATGGTGGATAAGCATAGCTGTGAGTGACCCACTGACCGCTGTGCAACTGGAAATTACCTTGTTGAGATAGGGCCATATCTCGGAAATGAGCTTGTTGATCCAGTCCACGCGTTGACTGTTAAATCGACTAAAAAATCGGCGTGAGGGTACAGTTGGAAATTACCTTGTTGAGATAGGGCCACATCTCAGCAACGAGCTTGTTCATCCAGTCCACGCGCTCATAGTCCAAAAGCCGGGGTAAGTGAGGGTACAGATGGCCATTATCTTGTTGAGGTAGGGCCACATTTCGGCGACGAGCTTGCTCATTATCAGCGTGCTCCTTTAATATTCGCGTAACAGTATAGGTGAGGGTACAAGTGGAAATTACCTTGTTGAGGTAGGGCCACATTTCGGCGACGAGCTTGCTCATTATCAGCGTGCTCCTTCAATATTCGCGTAACAGTATAGATGAGGGTACAAGTGGAAATTACCTTGTTGAGGTAGGGCCACATTTCGGCGACGAGCTTGCTCATTATCAGCGTGCTCCTTTAATATTCGCGTAACAGTATAGGTGAGGGTAAAAGTGGAAATTACCTTGTTAAGGTAGGGCCACATCTCGGCGACGAGCTTGTTCATCCAGTCCACGCGTTCGTAGTCCGGGTTGCTGACCCACGGCGGCAGATACGAGTAGTACTCCTGCAGCTCCTCCTCCTTCAGCGCCGCGCCCTCGGGGATGAGCTCCTTCACCTCTGGCTCCTACGGAAACGAAAGAAAAGAAGATCAGAAAAAAAAGGAGCGGAATGAGGCGCCTCAATATTTTTCGTGTCCTCCGGAATCAGCTCCTTCACCTCTGGCTTCTACGGAAACGAAAAGGAATAAAAAAACCCGGGGAAAAAAACCGGGAAAATCAGGACCTGGGGAAAGAAGGAAAAGAATGAAACCCGCGAATGTATGAGAAACGCATGTAAATTGCTGTTTGCGAATGCGGGGAAAGACGATGTGCGAAATTCTTTTGGTTTTGAATCGAGAGGGAAAAAAAAAGCATATGAGAGGGTTGCTTGTAATAAAGATTGACTCATGACAAGAAACTAACTGGCGACTAAGACGCGTCGCAGAGCACACCAATAATCTGGGAACTGACCTCAACGGCGGTTGGGAGTTTATGAATGAAAATGAAGTAGCCAGCAACTAAGCCGCCGAGCAAACCGATCGTAAATCCGAGCGTCTGAAAGATGTAGTGAAATCCCTTCACGATGACAAGGTAGAGCAGCCATCGAATCGGCAAGAAGATTAAGTAGATGGCGTACGATATGATCGCCATGTTTGTCCACGCCAACAGGATAAGAACAAGCGAACAATTTCACGCGAGCCAAGATTGGCGACACGCAGTCGAAAACTAAGGAAATAGGAGAAGGGGCTGCAAAAACTACGTCAGATTCACGAGCTCTGATGGAAGAGCCCTGAGTGAGGACTGGAGGAGCGGAAGGGAGGCAGCAGGATGAGAAGGAATGTCAGGCCGCCATGGCAGAACAAGAAATGGATACAATAATAAAATCTGAGAGTCCAGAAAGGACCTTGTCGACCGGGTTACCCAGCACAGAAATTTGTGTCGTGCATGTTCGTGCAAGCTCGTCGGATATCGCCTGGTCCAGGTGAACGGGTGCGCACAACCGTGGGTTGGAGCTTGACACTTCTGGTCGCCTGGTCAAGCTGCGGAGATCCCGAGGGAGAACCGACCAATTGCATTCTCGGCTCCCGCGCCGATTGCGGGTCCGCTCCGCTCCACACCTCCACCACAGCGGATTTTTGCTCTGTCGCTGCAAAAACACCGCAGCTGCGCCTCCCGACAGACATCCACCTCTGAGCTCCTCGTTTGGCGTTATAACGACACTGAAAACACTTCAGCTAGGTAGCTTGAACCTTAATCTCAGATAATAAATTGCACAGATCTCTCCATTTTCTAGTGCTCTCCGTCATCTGCTGTCCCACCGTCACATTGGGATCTTTGGAGCGACGAAACCAGATCACCACAGCCAGTCTCACCCTTCGCCGATCCCTTGTCAGAGCAGACGGCAAGAGTCGCCTGTCTGAGCGCGGCCAGTTTCACTTCATCAGCCTGCTGTTACGCGTTGCCGTCGCCCTCCTTGTCGCCTAGCAACTCCCCTTGCCCAGCTCCGTGGATTGTGCTCCTCCGCAGCCTCTCGATCGTTGCTGCTTGGGTTTTGGTGCTCCCATTAGAAGCTCTTAGTTTCCAATTCAGCTATCGATTTCCTTGCAGCAGACTTCAAACTGTTGTCGCGGAAATCACGATTTGACGAGGGAGATCATTTAAAAAGGATTGGAATTCGGCAGCCATGGCGCAAGAGGAGGAGATGAGTGCGCTGTTTCCGGTGTTCGCGTTATCGATCGTCGCGTTACTGGCCATACCGTGGACGCTGTACCGCCTGATTGGCTTCTTCTCCTCTAAGAAGCAAACGCTGCACTGCCCGTGCTCGCAGTGCGACCGCGATCCGAAGAACCGTCCGACCGTCTGGGCTCGCGTGAGTTGTGCAATCGTGTGCGACGCTGTGCGACGCGACGCGATCGGATGCGTGGCGACGCGATCAGCTTCGTCTTGATGCATTTCTGTGCGAAGTGTTCATGACACGGTGTTGCGCGATCCCGTTACCAGGCATCCTGTGTTTCCAGACCCTGAATTCAATTCTTACATGTCTGCTACAATTTGAAAAGAATGTCACTACCATGACAGGAAAGTTGAAGTCGTTTCTCCCTCCCTTGCTCCGACGAATCCCTAGATACAGGATTCTAAATCCTTGTGATCCGAAACGCGACACGATTTTCATGTGGGTCACCTTTCCAGGGAGCTCCCCTCACGTTTCTCCCTCTCGTGCCGCAATAAATTCCTTGAAACAGGTGTCCAAGTTCCTGTCCATCCAGAACGTGACGCTCATTCTCATGTGGGTCGCCATGGTCGCTCTCCTCTACTACATCAAAGTGCTCAACCGAGATGTATGTGTGCTCCTCACGTCTCTCCTCCACACTCCCCCTACTCACTTTTCCCTTCTCTCTCCTCTACTACATCAAAGTGCTCAACCGAGATGTACGTCCCCCCTTCCCTTCTTCCCTTCCTCTCCCCTACTTTTCTCCCTCCTCACTTTTCTCTTCATTGTCCCCCTCACTTTTCTCCCTCCTCAAATATCTTCCGCTTACACAATGAGACAAGATATGCCATGATTCAATCAATGTCATGTGACTTGACATGTGTCCCTGTGTGTCCGCATGCAGGCACAGCCTTCGAGCCATTCTCCATCCCGGAGCATCAGATGCGTTTTGAGACGTCTCAAAGGTCGTCTACTCTACTGATATCATGGGGACAAGATGTGACATTTGAAATCTGTCCGTCTGTGTGTGTCCGCGTGCAGGCACAGCCCTTCGAGCCGTTCTCCATCCTGGGGCTAAGTCCCGGAGCATCAGATGCAGACATCAAGAAGGCCTACCGCAAGCTCTCCCTGCAGTATCACCCTGACAAGAACCCCGACCCAGGTGAATGCCCTTTTGCACGTAACCCTGCCCGCGTGAATGCTCGTTGCAAGTAACCTTGCCTACCGCAAGCTCTCCCTGCAGTACCACCCTGACAAGAACCCCGACCCAGGTGAACCCCGACCCAGGTGAACCCCGACCCAGGTGAACCCCGACCCAGGTGAACCCCGACCCAGGTGACCCCCGACCCAGGTGAACCCCGACCCAGGTGACCCCCGACCCAGGTTAATTACCTTTTGCATGTAACCCTGCCAGCCAGCTGCCCATACATTCTTCGTGCATTACATCTCCAAGGCATACCAAGTGGTCACAGGTACAGATGAGGGGCTAGCGGTGGAGAGGGTTAGGGTGACTTCCTCAACACGCCCTCTTTCCCTTCCCTCACTTGCTTCTCCACCATCAGACGCCCACCGGTTCTTCATATTACATCTCCAAAGCGTACCAGGCACTCACGGACGAGGTGTAGACTCTTGTCCTTCCCCTTCCCTCCCTCCCTGTGCGTGCTCCCACCACCAGCCGCCCACAAGTTCTTCGTGGATTACATCTCCAAGGCATACCAGGCGCTCACAGACGAGGTGGCGAGGGCCAACTGGGAGAAGTACGGCCACCCGGACGGGCAGCAGGCCATGAACGTGGGCATCGCTCTTCCCAAGTTCATGCTCGACATCCAGGGACCCAAGGTGAGACCCAAGGTGAGACCCAAGGTGAGACCCAAGGTGAGACCCAAGGTGAGACCCAAGGTGAGACCCAAGGTGAGACCCAAGGTGAGACCCAAGGTGAGACCCAAGGTGAGACCCAAGGTGAGACCCAAGGTGAGACCCAAGGTGAGACCCAAGGTGAGACCCAAGGTGAGACCCAAGGTGAGACCCAAGGTGAGACCCAAGGTGAGACCCAAGGTGAGACCCAAGGTGAGACCCAAGGTGAGACCCAAGGTGAGACCCAAGGTGAGACCCAAGGTGAGACCCAAGGTGAGACCCAAGGTGAGACCCAAGGTGAGACCCAAGGTGAGACCCAAGGTGAGACCCAAGGTGAGACCCAAGGTGAGACCCAAGGTGAGACCCAAGGTGAGACCCAAGGTGAGACCCAAGGTGAGACCCAAGGTGAGACCCAAGGTGAGACCCAAGGTGAGACCCAAGGTGAGACCCAAGGTGAGACCCAAGGTGAGACCCAAGGTGAGACCCAAGGTGAGACCCAAGGTGAGACCCAAGGTGAGACCCAAGGTGAGACCCAAGGTGAGACCCAAGGTGAGACCCAAGGTGAGACCCAAGGTGAGACCCAAGGTGAGACCCAAGGTGAGACCCAAGGTGAGACCCAAGGTGAGACCCAAGGTGAGACCCAAGGTGAGACCCAAGGTGAGACCCAAGGTGAGACCCAAGGTGAGACCCAAGGTGAGACCCAAGGTGAGACCCAAGGTGAGACCCAAGGTGAGACCCAAGGTGAGACCCAAGGTGAGACCCAAGGTGAGACCCAAGGTGAGACCCAAGGTGAGACCCAAGGTGAGACCCAAGGTGAGACCCAAGGTGAGACCCAAGGTGAGACCCAAGGTGAGACCCAAGGTGAGACCCAAGGTGAGACCCAAGGTGAGACCCAAGGTGAGACCCAAGGTGAGACCCAAGGTGAGACCCAAGGTGAGACCCAAGGTGAGACCCAAGGTGAGACCCAAGGTGAGACCCAAGGTGAGACCCAAGGTGAGACCCAAGGTGAGACCCAAGGTGAGACCCAAGGTGAGACCCAAGGTGAGACCCAAGGTGAGACCCAAGGTGAGACCCAAGGTGAGACCCAAGGTGAGACCCAAGGTGAGACCCAAGGTGAGACCCAAGGTGAGACCCAAGGTGAGACCCAAGGTGAGACCCAAGGTGAGACCCAAGGTGAGACCCAAGGTGAGACCCAAGGTGAGACCCAAGGTGAGACCCAAGGTGAGACCCAAGGTGAGACCCAAGGTGAGACCCAAGGTGAAGACCCAAGGTGAGACCCAAGGTGAGACCAAGGTGAGACCCAAGGTGAGACCCAAGGTGAGACCCAAGGTGAGACCCAAGGTGAGACCCAAGGGAGACCAAGGTGAGACCAAGGTGAGACCCAAGGTGAGACCCAAGGTGAGACCCAAGGTGAGACTCTCGAGACCCAAGGTGAGACTCTCGACGTGTTTTGAGACGTCTCAGGACCCAAGGTGAGACTCTCGACGTGTTTTGAGACGTCTCAGGACCCAAGGTGAGACTCTCGACGTGTTTTGAGACGTCTCAGGACCCAAGGTGAGACTCTCGACGTGTTTTGAGACGTCTCAGGACCCAAGGTGAGACTCTCGACGTGTTTTGAGACGTCTCAGGACCCAAGGTGAGACTCTCGACGTGTTTTGAGACGTCTCAGGACCCAAGGCAAGGTGAGACTCTCGACGTGTTTTGAGACGTCTCAGGACCCAAGGTGAGACTCTCGACGTGTTTTGAGACGTCTCAGGACCCAAGGTGAGACTCTCGACGTGTTTTGAGACGTCTCAGGACCCAAGGTGAGACTCTCGACGTGTTTTGAGACGTCTCAGGACCCAAGGTGAGACTCTCGACGTGTTTTGAGACGTCTCAGGACCCAAGGTGAGACTCTCGACGTGTTTTGAGACGTCTCAGGACCCAAGGTGAGACTCTCGACGTGTTTTGAGACGTCTCAGGACCCAAGGTGAGACTCTCGACGTGTTTTGAGACGTCTCAGGACCCAAGGTGAGACTCTCGACGTGTTTTGAGACGTCTCAGGACCCAAGGTGAGACTCTCGACGTGTTTTGAGACGTCTCAGGA